GATATTCTGTATGCTCTCATGTTTTATTTAAATACATTGTAAATTATTTAATTCAAGCGCAAGACATATGCCTGAGAGGTTTCATAAGTTGATGAGCAAAATATACATGCACTTGAGCAAACCGTCTCTAAAGCAAACCTTCACTTAAGTTAACAAGCACTTAACCTTCACTAAAGTAAACAAACACACAAACCTTCACTAAAGTTAACACACTTATACAAACCTTCACTAAAGTAAACAAACACACAAACCTTCACTTAAGTAAACAAACACACAAACCTTCACCGAGGTTAAAAAACATGCAAACCTTCACTTCACTTAACACACACTTATGCAAACTGTTAAATTTTTTTTTTTTTAAAGAGGACCTAAAATATCTGCATGAAATGACAATTGAATCCCTCTAATCAAACCAACAAGATCATTTGCAATGATGCTCAAGTTTTCAAAGTAATGATGGGTTTCAAGTGATTTGATTTAAATATTTCTATTATATCAATAATTAAGAGAAATTAACTAAATTAGAATTTTAATAGTCACCCAATAGGGTTAGCCATACAGGCTCGGCTGTCACAAATTTTACAAACATTTATTCACAACTTTTTGGCTAAGAAACAGAATATTTTTTATCAGTTATATGTTCAATTCTGTACTGTATCTTTTATAGCAAAGATGTCTTTCAAATACCGGTATGTAAAACTCTTCTTTTTTTTTTGCGATGAATTTATCAGTTGTTAAAAAAAATCTGAGTTGTCTTTAGCTGTCAAAAACTGTCCATCACACCCATGTGTCCTACAAAACAAACTTTCCATCAAGTGCAAGTGTCCACAACATATCCGCTACTTTTTCATGTAACTTGAAAAAATTCAAACAAACTGACCGTTACCAAGTGCCACAGAAAACACGAGTCACGTGAAGTTCATATGGTTGCTTTTTAATATACTTCTTTGATACTCATTTTTAATCATACACATAACTTTTATGTAATACAATCATAAAGTTCTTTCATAAACACATAACTTGTATGTAAAATACAATCATAAAGTTCTTTTACACACACACACATAACTACTATGTAATACAATCATAAAATTCTTTTCCACACACACACATAACTACTATGTAATACAATCATAAAGTTCTTTTCCACACACACACATAACTACTATGTAATACAATCATAAAGTTCTTTTACACACACACACAACACTACTATGTAATACAATCATGAAGTTCTTTTACACACACACACATAACTACTATGTAATACAATCATGAAGTTCTTTTACACACACACACATAACTACTATGTAATACAATCATAAAGTTCTTTTACACACACACACATAACTACTATGTAATACAATCATGAAGTTCTTTTACACACACACACATAACTACTATGTAATACAATCATAAAGTTCTTTTACACACACACACATAACTACTATGTAATACAATCATGAAGTTCTTTTACACACACACACATAACTACTATGTAATACAATCATAAAGTTCTTTTACACACACACACAACACTACTATGTAATACAATCATGAAGTTCTTTTACACACACACACACATAACTACTATGTAATACAATCATGAAGTTCTTTTACACACACACACATAACTACTATGTAATACAATCATAAAGTTCTTTTCCACACACACACATAACTACTATGTAATACAATCATAAAGTTCTTTTACACACACACACAACACTACTATGTAATACAATCATGAAGTTCTTTTACACACACACACATAACTACTATGTAATACAATCATGAAGTTCTTTTACACACACACACATAACTACTATGTAATACAATCATAAAGTTCTTTTACACACACACACATAACTACTATGTAATACAATCATGAAGTTCTTTTACACACACACACATAACTACTATGTAATACAATCATGAAGTTCTTGTGTATATATACATTATACATAACTTTCCCTCACACACACATCAATTTGAAGGAAGTGATTCCTTATATCAGTGGTTCCCAACCTTTTTGATGTGTTCTGCCCTTTTTAGAACCCCTTAAGCTTACTCTCTGTCTTAAGGAACCAACAGTGTTTAGGATTTTTCTGGAGCGGTTGTAGAGCCCCTAAGCAGTGCTTGCATTAGGGCTCAGTGGAGCACAAATTGGGAACCACTACCTTATACCATTAAATTGCTATATTCCTTGAATTTTTTTCTTGCTACCTGTATCAAATTTTAACAAAGAAAACAGAATTTAATGTTGCATATTGTAAAGACTAAATCTATTTGAAGCTATAAAAATCTATATTTACACTTACTAATTCAATCATCATTAAATGTACATGTCATTTTTAATTCTTACATAATGACAAAACCTAAGGGGTCATTTGTAAATTACGGCACGCAAAAAAATGACTTTTTAGACCCTCTGAGCCTGACGTAATTTGCAAAGCACCCCTAATGTGATATGCTGATTGGATTTTCAAAACATTTCACAGTAAGTGGTAAAATATTTGTAGGAAAATGAAAATAAATTCAAAATGTCGAAATTCAAGAAATAATATATGTTGTAAGACAGGCTTGCACAACATAAGGCCCACCTTACATTTTGAGTTCTGGTAAGGTAATTAAAAAAATAACAAATTTGGACATGGCATTCAGCCCGTTTAAACTTCAAGCATATCTCTGACACATCACTCAGAAATCTCTGACATGTCACTCAGATATCTCTGACACGTCACTCAGATATCTCACAAATGTCACTCAGATATCTCTCGCGTCCCTCAAATATATCTCACATGTCACTCAAATATATCTCACGTGTCAGGCAGATGTCTCTCACATATCACTCAGATACCTATCACATGTAACTTAGTTATCTCTCACATGCCACTGAGATACCTCTCTCAATAAATTACAAAGGAGACAACAATTCTTCTAATATTGTGCTAAAACTGTGAAGCTCTCTTGCAATTAAAACAAACACTTCACGCCAAGGTCATGGTCAATAATAAATAGTATACCAGAACAAAGCTTAGTTTAACAAATTTCATGTCAAACAAATCTGCCACATTTATATTTACATAAATTGTTCTCCCCATAGTTGCTACACATAAATTGTTCTCCCCATAGTTGGTACACATAAATTGTTCTCCCCATAGTTGCTACACATAAATTGTTCTCCCCATAGTTGCTACACATACATTGCTCTCCCCATAGTTGCTACACATACATTGCTCTCCCCATAGTTGCAACACATAAATTGTTCTCCCCATAGTTGCTACACATAAATTGTTCTCCCCATAGTTGCAACACATAAATTGTTCTCCCCATAGTTGCAACACATAAATTGTTCTCCCCATAGTTGCTACACATAAATTGTTCTCCCCATAGTTGCAACACATAAATTGTTCTCCCCATAGTTGCTACACATAAATTGCTCTCCCCATAGTTGCAACACATAAATTGTTCTCCCCATAGTTGCAACACATAAATTGTTCTCCCCATAGTTGCTACACATAAATTGTTCTCCCCATAGTTGCTACACATAAATTGTTCTCCCCATAGTTGCTACACATAAATTGTTCTCCCCATAGTTGCAACACATAAATTGTCTCTCCATAGTTGCAACACATAAATTGTTCTCCCCATAGTTGCAACACATAAATTGTTCTCCCCATAGTTGCTACACATAAATTGTTCTCCCCATAGTTGCAACACATAAATTGTTCTCCCCATAGTTGCTACACATAAATTGTTAACCCTGTTTTGTAAACAATTGCCAAAAATGAGCAGAGGTCAAGTAGTTTTTTAAAAGAACAATGTGTGTGTGGTACAGAACAATATGTGGTACAGAATAATGTTTGTGTGGTACAGAAAATGTGGTACAGAACAATATGTGGTACAGAACAATGTTTGTGTGGTTACAGAACAATGTGTGTGTGTGGTATAGAACAATGTGTGTCTTGTACAGAACAATGTGTGGTACGGAACAATGTGTGTGTGGTATAGAACAATGTGTGGTACAGAACAATGTGTGGTACAGAACAATGTGTGTGTGGTACAGAACAATATGTGTGTGGTACAGAACAAATTGTGGTACAGAACAATGTGTGGTACAGAACAATGTGTGGTACAGAACAATGTGTGTGGTACAGAACAAAATGTGGTACAGAACAATGTGTGGTACAGAACAATGTGTGGTAATCATGGAGTTAAAAATGTCACAGAAAACAAAGCTACAATAGATTTAAACTGTTTCTCCAGTACAAACATAATTTTTCTTATACAAACATAATTTTGTCTTTTTTTTCAATTTTTTCAAACATTATGAGATCTTTTTTTCAAACATATATTTTTTCCAGTACATTCATATTATTTCCTAAGCACCAACATATGATTCTCAGGACTAACACAGCATTTCTTCAGTACGATCATATACTTTTCTTGAGTACAAAAATAATCATCTCTTTTACAATCATTTTATTTTCTCTTGTACCGGTATGGGGTACTAACATAGAACTTTCTCTATTTGTACAAACATATATTTTTCTCTTCTACAAAAATATAATTTTCTCTTGTACAAACAAATCAATCAAAATTGAGAGTTAAATTTATCTGAAAATGTTTTCAAACATTCAATCTAGAGGTAAATTGAAGAGGGGACACAATTCTTGACACACCTCACCCTCCAATGTTAATTTACCCTGTATAGTGAGAGTGTAGAGAAAACACCTCGTATTACTAGGGGGTTCAGATTCAGTCCACTGGGCAGAGAGTGATCTACAGTTTGCCATTCAGACATTCATCAAACAACTACAGAGATAGTCATCTGCATATTTGTGATCCTTTTCATTCTAGCACCGTTGAAAACACAAATGTTTTCTCTTAAAATCATTTGATATGGAAATAAACTTTGTTACTAAATGTTACAGCATCAAACAGCAGGGACGCCAGTAACCTGCCGGCTTAAGAACAGATTAGACGATCGGCAGCTACTACCTGAATGTGCCCGAGCTGGGGGTGCCTGCCAAGTTGAGGGTGCTGGACATGCTGGGGGCGTGCATTGAAGCTCTCTCAGCCTCGGAGGCGTCGCTGTCAGCTTTCAGGACTGAGATGCACTTCCAGTTGTCCAGGTAATTGGCTGGAAATAAACAGAATGCATATATTTTAACAAGACAAATATAAAGGGCAAGGTGTCTAGCAAAATATACTTGTTATACTCGTTCTAAAGCCGACGTTTTTTTGAAATATTTCTTGTGGAATAAGTGGGGTGGCCGGCTTATGAGCAGGTCAATGAGTGTGTTATAATTTTCTGACCGCAGGTTGCCCAACAGGGGCCATAAATTCTTTCATAACAGAGGCCCCTCAACCAGTTAACAGCTTTTAAATATTTCCTAGAATATTAAAGGATTATGAAAAGGTGCTCTTTAAGCGACAACTGTCACACCTCACTGACTGGCCTCTTTTTGGACTGGGCCAAAACCATGGCTCTCAACCAATGAACAAACTTTAAATTTAATGATGAATAAAGGATTTTGATTTGGTCAAAATTTAAATGGCAACTTAAGGACCGGATTCTATCTAAAGCCTCTTGATATGTCCCACAGTAAGTCTTAATTTAAATGATACCTTGCAATCAATCGAATTACATTCAATTCTGGAGCACTTACCAATTAAAAATGTTTAAGGGTTAACTTGAATATTTATCTATAGGATTTAGATGTGGCGCTCCTTTGAAAGAAATAGTGAAACTAGAACAAGAGAATTGTGTCCATTGTTTATTTGGTTTTTCTTTTCTTTATTGGGTTTAATGGTATGCGGCCCAACGAAGCGTTGACTTGTGATCAAAGTGAACCGTGAAGCTATTTGGTTAGGCCGCCCCTGATTTTAGATCTCTCGATTATTAATTCAGTGCCACTGGTCATGTCTTGTGCCACTGGTCATGTCTTGTGCCACTGGTCATGTCTTGTGCCACTGGTCATGTCTTGTGCCACTGGTCATGTCTTGTGCCACTGGTCATGTCTTGTGCCACTGGTCATGTCTTGTGCCACTGGTCATGTCTTGTGCCACTGGTCATGTCTTGTGCCACTGGTCATGTCTTGTGCCACTGGTCATGTCTTGTGCCACTGGTCATGTCTTGTGCCACTGGTCATGTCTTGTGCCACTGGTCATGTCTTGTGCCACTGGTCATGTCTTGTGCCACTGGTCATGTCTTGTGCCACTGGTCATGTCTTGTGCCACTGGTCATGTCTTGTGCCACTGGTCATGTCTTGTGCCACTGGTCATGTCTTGTGCCACTGGTCATGTCTTGTGCCACTGGTCATGTCTTGTGCCACTGGTCATGTCTTGTGCCACTGGTCATGTCTTGTGCCACTGGTCATGTCTTGTGCCACTGGTCATGTCTTGTGCCACTGGTCATGTCTTGTGCCACTGGTCATGTCTTGTGCCACTGGTCATGTCTTGTGCCACTGGTCATGTCTTGTGCCACTGGTCATGTCTTGTGCCACTGGTCATGTCTTGTGCCACTGGTCATGTCTTGTGCCACTGGTCATGTCTTGTGCCACTGGTCATGTCTTGTGCCACTGGTCATGTCTTGTGCCACTGGTCATGTCTTGTGCCACTGGTCATGTCTTGTGCCACTGGTCATGTCTTGTGCCACTGGTCATGTCTTGTGCCACTGGTCATGTCTTGTGCCACTGGTCATGTCTTGTGCCACTGGTCATGTCTTGTGCCACTGGTCATGTCTTGTGCCACTGGTCATGTCTTGTGCCACTGGTCATGTCTTGTGCCACTGGTCATGTCTTGTGCCACTGGTCATGTCTTGTGCCACTGGTCATGTCTTGTGCCACTGGTCATGTCTTGTGCCACTGGTCATGTCTTGTGCCACTGGTCATGTCTTGTGCCACTGGTCATGTCTTGTGCCACTGGTCATGTCTTGTGCCACTGGTCATGTCTTGTGCCACTGGTCATGTCTTGTGCCACTGGTCATGTCTTGTGCCACTGGTCATGTCTTGTGCCACTGGTCATGTCTTGTGCCACTGGTCATGTCTTGTGCCACTGGTCATGTCTTGTGCCACTGGTCATGTCTTGTGCCACTGGTCATGTCTTGTGCCACTGGTCATGTCTTGTGCCACTGGTCATGTCTTGTGCCACTGGTCATGTCTTGTGCCACNAAAGTTTATTGGAATGCGGCCCGCAAGTTTTCCCCATACTCCAATCTATAATATGCCCCCCCCCCCCCCCCAAACGAAGGTTTCAGTCTAACCTCACCGACTAGCCTAATTCTGAATTTTTATTATGTTTGCATAGATTTGGAAATTGATAATCATGGTAAAAACTGTTTTAAAACCGGCCTAAAAGTTTTTATTTTGTAGCATTGTATGAGACAAACATGGCCACAGTGCGATTTTGAGAAAAGTTTAAAATTTCAGTTAGTGGATAATGCACAACGATAATTGTGTAAATCGTAGCAATCTGACACAGAATCAAAGAATGCCTATTAAAATTTGCCCCTACTGTTAATGAGTGAGGGAAATTCCAAGCATATGAACTTGGTTCCATTTCAAAAATTTATTTTCTACGATAAAAATTCATTCTCCCTACAATTAGCATCTTCCTTTGCATCAATATTCATAAATATTGCCTACTCTTTCCTACTATCTGAACACATTTTAGCATTTTAAGCCTTCATGAAAAAGGATGGGGTGGTTGTTCCTGTACGGCTCATGGACTTGGCTTTACTTGCTGACATTACACAGGAGCTGAATGTACTCAGCAAGAAGTTACAAGACCAGGGGAAGCTTATCAGTGTTGCCTATGACAATGTCGGGGCATTCTGCACAAAACTTGTTATGGTTCTTAGAGAAACCTCTGACATTTCCCAACATGCAAAGTACTCATGGACTCGGCACACCATTCAGTAATAAGTATACTGATGCCATTGCATAGCCACAGTAAGAATTAGATCACATGTTTTTAGACTTCAAAACACAAAGATCCTGCTGATCCTTTCTCTTTATAGTGGAAGATGCGCCCCCACCCCACTTAAGCTTCAAATGGAGCTGATTGATCTTCAGCGCAATTCTAAGTTCAGGGAGGTGAATGTAGAAACAGACAAGCATTGACATTTTATGAGAGCATTGCCCTTCACCTTCACTGAGGTTTCCAGGTTGCTCCAGTGGATCCTGTGCCTCTCTGGGGGTTCCTATCTGTGTGAAAAGCTCTTTTTCCCACTATGAACTTTAACAAGTCAAAGTTCAGGGCGAAACTTATTGATGAGCATATTCAAGCTATACTGAGAGTCTCAGTTGCTTCCTCACTCAAGCCTAATGTTGCTCTGGTGTGTAAAAAGAAGCGCTACCAGGTCTCTGGCAATAAGGAGTAGGAGGAAGAAAGTGAAGCCTAGTACTTGAGAACCCTTAATTTTTTTATTTTGTCATTAATAAAGGTTGAGCAGATTGTACCAATTGTATTTTTTTAAATTTGTAATCGCTTTTTTTTTTACTTGATGTGGCCCAGTCTCACTCAGACTCTACCATGTGCCGCCCTCGGATGATTTGAGTTTGAGACCCCTGCCTTACAACATCAGGTCATACTGCACAACATCTGGTCACAAAGTACACCAGGCTACATAACAACTCAAGACATGTTCCTTAGCGAATTAACTGAACTATAACAGACTTTTTTCTGATAGACATATTTTTCAGGACTAGCGATCTCTCAAGCTTTCTTAATCTCTAATAACCCTCATCTAGCTCACACCAAGCCACACTATGCATACACATTCATTTATTAGACCAACACAACTTTTCACCAGCCTGCTCATTGGTCATTGAGACTTTTCATTAAATTGAATTAACTTTCTCTACTTTTAATGACTAGTTCAAGACAAAAATTAACTAGTTTCCTTGGCCTTGACAGCTACAACAGATTAATTATATTATATATATATATATATATATATATATATATATATATATACACACAACAGATTAAATATATATATATATATATAAAAATGAGCTATGATATCTCTATTATTCTAAAAAATTACAAAAGATTAATTATATTATATATATATATATATATATATATATATATATATATATATACACACAACAGATTAATTAGATATATACATATATAAGAATGAGCTATGGTATCCCTATTATGCTAAAAAAAATTGATTTAAATGCTCAGATTCTTAAAAACAGTGACAGGGATTTTCTATAATTTTACAGAAATCAAATCAATTTAAAAATGAAACAAATAAAATATATCTGCTAATATATGATTATCTCTTTAATTAGAAAAACATTCATAAAATTAACAATTAAAGAACTATTTTTTAGCATTTTATCCCAATCTGAAAGTTAAAGTATTCTTTTTATAATCAATAAATTATCGTCAAAGTATTGCTATCATTAATTTATAATCATATTTATTAGGAAAACCCAAACATCTGCTGTTTTAATTGTGTTGTTAAGATTGCAAAATTAAATTTAAATGTACCCTATGTTAATGCCCCAAATGACTCAACTGTCTACTGTCATTAGAATGACACAGTATCATTAGAAATTTATTAATATTATCTTCTATTAAGTTCTATGAATAAATATTATAAATTTAAAATAAAACGGATTGAATTTTATGATTATATATAGAACTAAACTATTTTACATCAATGGGAGTGTATTTGGTATAAAGGCATTCTTTTGGATTTGGCCAAAAGTTAATTTAAGAGTAAAAAATGATTACATGTACATTTTTCAATATAGTATTAGCAAATAGTATCATTACTATTACTATAGTGCCATAGTTAGTAGACACGTCAGTAATAATTGAGAAAACTATAAAAAAGGGACTTGTGTACTTCATAGCCAAAATAGCTTTCCAAGCTCATTTTTAGATTAACAGGTTTGGATTTTGAAACAATAAAAGAGCTCAATGTACAATTTATTCACATTAATGTAGAAATGTATAGTGATGGTCTTCCCTGACACTACTCTAAATCTAAAAATCAACACTGCCACATCGGTAGGTAATAATACCTACTCATGACCGTGAATAAACCCATAGTTAACTTCAGATATTATCATTAAAAGGTTATTCTCTAAGTACTTTATTTTTGTATAATTATTATAAATTTCACTCTGATTTTTACAGTACCAGGGCGCGGAAATTAATATATGTATATTTATTTATATATATTTAGGTGGGTTGGTACATTTTTAAAAACATTTATGTACTTCAGTGATATTACTTCTGTCCTATCTCAAAACCCAAAAACAATACAGATTTGAATATCGGTATATAGATCATATACAATAAAATTTGGGAACTATGAATTTTACTAATTACTGTTTTAACATTCAAGTGAGCAAATTGAAAAAAAATTTAAAGTTTTTTTCTCTCTCCAATTTAAAAGTAAATCAACTGTTAACAAAAATATACAAAAGTAAGCATTGAAATTGTTTAGTTAACATATTCTTCAATTCTTAAGAATTCTGTTTTTAACAATTTTCCACTAATATAGTAGAGAAGCTGTGGTTAATCTTTTAACGAAGATACCAACAGTTCAAATTCTGTTAATGTAACAGATTTTTAAAATCATATTTAAATTTTTTTGTTGTAAATGAAAAGACATGTTGGTTTGTTTTTGGTTGTAAATTTAGGATTCTGAAAATGGGTACGGTAAGCTTACATATATGGGTAAGGTAGACTTACATATGGATAAGGTAGGCTTACATATGGGTAAGGTAGGCTTACATATGGGTAAGGTAGGCTTACATATCGGTAAGGTAGGCTTACATATGGGTAAGGTAGGCTTACATATGGGTAAGGTAGGCTTACATATGGGTAAGGTAGGCTTACATATGGGTAAGGTAGGCTTAGATATGGGTAAGGTAGGCTTACATATGGGTAAGGTAGGCTTACATATGGGTAGGCTTACATATGGGTAAGGTAGGCTTACATATGGGTAAGGTAGGCTTACATTATATTATAGCAGATAAGTATTTCTCAAAACAAAATGATGTTAGAAATGTAAACATCAATACATAAATACATCTTTTTAAAACATGGAAAGTCTGATGGTTAGATGGTATGACTTCGCAATAGCAGTTATTAAACATGGAAAGTCTGATGGTTAGATGGTATGACTTGGCAATAGCAGTTATTAAAACATGGAAAGTCAGATGGTTAGATGGTATGACTTGGCAATAGCAGTTATTAAAACATGGAAAGTCTGATGGTTAGATGGTATGACTTGGCAATAGCAGTTATTAAAACATGGAAAGTCTGATGGTTAGATGGTATGACTTCGCAATAGCAGTTATTAAACATCACAAATTGCTTTCCATTATTATCCCAGTGACATCAGCTCTTATCTTTCTAGTAATCTAATAATGAGATAAATACCACAGATAAAGAATCTAATAATGAGATAATAACACAGATAAAGAATCTAATAATGAGATAAATACCACTGATTCATGGTCCTCAAAACTTGCTGACTGACGGATCTCAAACTTACTCGGACTGTTTCCACCTTCTTTCCTGAAAGAAAATAATCAAATTCAAATGGTCATCTCTGAAAGAAAATGATCAAATTCAGTTGGTCATCTCTGAGCATTGTGATGTTTGAGTTATGTACTAGTGATATCACTGAGATAGCTAGGTATATCACCCATATATCATATAGCTAGGTATATCACCCATATATCATATAGCTAGGTATATCACCGAGATATCATATTTAAGTATATCACCGAGAAATCATATAGCTAGGTATATCACTGGAATATCAATTAGATCTGCACTTAGATCAGAGCTCTGCAACTAGTGTGCTACTACACAGTGATGTGCTGCTACACACTGGTGTGCTGCTAGATGAGGCATGGTGCGTTGCACTAAACACCTCTAAGAGATGAAGAGCACAGAATTGTAGGCATGTAAAGATGATTAAAATAATGTTGGTAAGAAGAGACATTGGTTATTAGTAAGCTGTCCAACAGGGCACATTGGTTAAGCCTATTACTAAGCTGTCCAACAAGGGACATTGGGTAAGCCTATTACCAAGCTGTCCAAATGGGGACTTTGGTTAAGCCTATTACTAAGCTGTCCAACAAGGGACATTGGATAAGCCTATTACTAAGCTGTCCAATAAGGGACATTGGGTAAGCCTATTACTAAGCTGTCCAACTGGGGACTTTGGTTAAGCCTATTACTAAGCTGTCCAACAAGGGACATTGGATAAGCCTATTACTAAGCTGTCCAATAAGGGACATTGGGTAAGCCTATTACTAAGCTGTCCAACTGGGGACATTGGTTAAGCCTATTACTAAGCTGTCCAACAAGAGACATTGGTTAAGCCATGACTAAGCTGTGAGGGTTGCTGGGCTCTGATTAAGATGATACTTGTCCATTGATATTTATAGCAGTATATACACCTGTGTATATAAAGGCAACAAAACATTTCTTTCCAAGCCCTTTTTTTTGGTTTGTTTTTGTTGATGTTTCTTAGTTGGATTCTTGCTCAAGTGTTACAACACAGAGTGAGTTCAAATAAGTGTTACAACACAGAGTGAGTTCAAATAAGTGTTACAACACAGAGTGAGTTCAAATAAGTGTTACAACACAGAGTGAGTTCAAATAAGTGTTACAACACAGAGTGAGTTCAAATAAGTGTTACAACACAGAGTGAGTTCAAATAAGTGTTACAACACAGAGTGAGTTCAAATAAGTGTTACAACACAGAGTGAGTTCAAATAAGTGTTACAACACAGAGTGAGTTCAAATAAGTGTTACAACACAGAGTGAGTTCAAATAAGTGTTACAACACAGAGTGAGTTCAAATAAGTGTTACAACACAGAGTGAGTTCAAATAAGTGTTACAACACAGAGTGAGTTCAAATAAGTGTTACAACACAGAGTGAGTTCATTCAAATAATGGTAGACATATGCTCATGGACCAGAACATGACATGGTCCAAGAATACATTGTTGAATCCTCAAAAATAATAGAATACTATCAAATAACAAATAAATTATAACAATAGTTTTGAAACTTGGTAAATATTATAGGAGCGTCATTTTATTGGCCAAATGCCGGATGAGTGAAGTGGGTGCATCACCAAAACCCCACAGGAAAAAGGGTCAAAAGTAGACCCAGGCTTAGATGGATGGATGATGTGACAAAAGATCTGCAGCAGCTGGACATCTAAGCATGTGAAAGAAAAGCATCATTTAGGTCTGAGTGGAAGGAAGTGGTGAGGCAGGCCAAAGCCCTACATGGGCTGCAACGTCACAGGGATGGAATAAATATTTTTTTAAAGTTTGGATTTTAAAATATTTTAGTCTTGGTACCATGTTGCTTGTATTGGCATATTATATTATGGGGTTGGCTTATAAGAAGGTCACACACTTTTTAGGTTTGTCCCAGGCAAATGTCTTCTTATATTTGAGGGCCCACGATAGATTTATTGAGCATTCTGGCTTCTGGTTTGAGTTCAGAGTTTGCCTTCTCTTAGATATGAGTTGCACTACAAGACTAACGCATCCCAACCACCCGGGGTGCTTGGGATGTTGGCTTTGGTGGGGCTGGACAGACAACAAGCTATTTGGTTTGAGACAGTTTAGACCACTCGGACACCCAGCAGCCAATCTGACGAGGTTGGCTTATAACAGAGTCACACACTTATTAGGTTTTCCCCAGGCAAATCTGACGAGGTTGGCTTATAACAGAGTCACACACTTATTAGGTTTTCAACAGGCAAATCTGACGAGGTTGGCTTATAACAGAGTCACACACTTATTAGGTTTTCCCCAGGCAAATCTGACGAGGTTGGCTTATAACAGAGTCACACACTTATTAGGTTTTCCCCAGGCAAATCTGAGGAGGTTGGCTTATAACAGAGTCACACACTTATTAGGTTTTCCCCAGGCAAATCTGAGGAGGTTGGCTTATAACAGAGTCACACACTTATAAGGTTTTCCCCTGGCAAATCTGAGGAGGTTGGCTTATAACAGAGTCACACACTTATAAGGTTTTCCCCTGGCAAATCTGAGGAGGTTGGCTTATAACAGAGTCACACACTTATAAGGTTTTCCCCTGGCAAATCTGAGGAGGTTGGCTTATAACAGAGTCACACACTTATAAGGTTTTCCCCTGGCAAATCTGAGGAGGTTGGCTTATAACAGAGTCACACACTTATAAGGTTTTCCCCTGGCAAATCTGAGGAGGTTGGCTTATAACAGAGTCACACACTTATAAGGTTTTCCCCTGGCAAATCTGAGGGAGCACTTATGGTACCTTGAATATAACATGTTTGTCCATAAAGAAGATGCATCTGACAAGACTGATCTAAAAATATGATGCATATGACAAGGCTAGTCCAGCAAGGTGATGCATATGACAAGGCTAGTCCAGCAAGGTGATGCATATGACAAGGCTAGTCCAGCAAGGTGATGCATCTGACAAGGCTAGTCCAGCAAGGTGATGCATATGACAAGGCTAGTCCAGCAAGGTGATGCATATGACAAGGCTAGTCCAGCAAGGTGATGCATATGACAAGGCTAGTCCAGCAAGGTGATGCATATGACAAGGCTAGTCCAGCAAGGTGATGCATATGACAAGGCTAGTCCAGCAAGGTGATGCATATGACAAGGCTAGTCCAGCAAGGTGATGCATCTGACAAGCTAGTCCAGCAAGGTGATGCATATGACAAGGCTGGTCCAGCAAGGTGATGCATATGACAAGGCTGGTCCAGCAAGGTGATGCATCTGACAAGGCTAGTCCAGCAAGGTGATGCATATGACAAGGCTAGTCCAGCAAGGTGATGCATCTGACAAGGCTAGTCCAGCAAGGTGATGCATCTGACAAGGCTGGTCCAGCAAGGTGATGCATCTGATAGGGCTGGTCCAGCAAGGTGATGCATATGACAAGGCTGGTCCAGCAAGGTGATGCATATGACAAGGCTGGTCCATCAAGGTGATGCATCTGACAAGGCTAGTCCAGCAAGGTGATGCATATGACAAGGCTGGTCCAGCAAGGTGATGCATAGGACAAGGCTGGTCCAGCAAGGTGATGCATATGACAAGGCTGGTCCAGCAAGGTGATGCATATGACAAGGCTAGTCCAGCAAGGTGATGCATATGACAAGGCTGGTCCAGCAAGGTGATGCATATGACAAGGCTGGTCCAGCAAGACGATGCATCTGATTAGTGTCCTTGAAATTTTTGTCTTTTGACCTGAGATTTAACGTTAAACTGAGATTGTATCTATGTTTACCTGAGATTTTTCAGCGACACAATTGTCAGCTCATTGGAAGCTATTGCTAGCAGGTGATAAGATCTCCCCAGGTTTGGAGCAAATCTGACATCATGAACGGGTTCTGTAACTGTGTAGATGGTTTCAACTTTTTGCCATTTTCTGAAGACAGGGAAAACCAATTAAATGTCATTGACATCAAATATGTCGACGTCATAACTAGCCAAACAAACTAGCCAAACAAACTAACTATTTATTTTAAAAATAACAATTAAATTGTGTAAATTTATTAGTTTCAAGCCTAAAATAAGAAACTCTTCAACTAAAAAAAAAAATCATTAAAACCGAAACAGGTGCTAAGAATTTCTTCCATTAAAAGAATAAACTATTTCTATGGCAATCCACCTGAACCAACAAGACCAGTTATGTAGAGACATAGCGGCCCCTTTAGTTCTTTAATTGTTTTCATAGATTTGTAGGCAGTTTCAACCGCACCTCTAATGGTTTGGAGTTCAATCCCCGGCAAAAGCCTTGACAAACAAATTCATCACCGGCAGCCCCGGGTCAATGGGACGCGTTAACCTTGGACGGCATTCTGTCGGTGGCATGATATTAACTCAATAAAAATTCTGGCGGCTCCTGCGACGCTACCGGTGCCAAGCTGTATCATTCATGCATGATGCTTCCTTGGATTCACCAGATGGGTTAACAGAGATGACTTGCTGCCTATGCAACTAGTTTATGCTACTAAAAGAAAAAAAACTCAGGCCTTGTGGTTTTGTTTTTCAAAGTCTACACAATTGTCACACTGTGACGTACAAATAATGACTACACAATTGTCACACTGTGACGTACAGATGATGACTACACAATTGTCACACTGTGACGTACAGATGATGACTACACAATTGTCACACTGTGACGTACAGATGATGACTACACAATTGTCACACTGTGACATACAGATGATGACTACACAATTGTCACACTGTGACTTACAGATGATGAAAATTTTAAAAACAATAATTTGTACATGCACACCCACCTGCTTGTTTCAATGTACTCAGATTGTACACACATACCCTCCTAATTGTTTCACTGTATTGTACACATGTATCCACCTGGTTGTTTCACTGTACTCACAGATTGTACACATGTACCCACCTGGTTGTTCCACTGTACTCACAGATTGTACACACGCACCCACCTGGTTGTTTCACTGTACTCAGATTGTACACATGTACCCACCTAATTGTTTCATTGCACTCAGATTGTACACACGTACCCACCTGGTTGTTAAACTGTACTCAGATTGTACACACGTACCCACCTGGTTGTTTCACTGTACTCATAGATTTGGACCTTCCCTCCAGCTGATTGGTTGGCATCGTCACTCCCCACAGCTATCATTGGAGCATGCATTCTGAACGGAATTAAGTTAGAACAAATGAATCTTAGTGCTTTACTTCATTTCTTCTGACATTTCATATATCAACTTAATATGTCGATATTTCAACAGAGTGTTGAATAACATCTGTTACCATACATTCAACTAAACTTAAAATTGAGTCGATGTGGGATTTGTGAATCCTGTATAACATCCGCTACCGATACAAAACATTCAACTAAGTTACATAAACCAATGTAATACAAAAATATAGCACCGCACCATAAAAGACATATGCATGTTTGTAAACACAGCATTTTATTTAATGGATTTTGTTAAATTAAAAAAAATACCACCATTTACCTGGCAAAGAACACCACCATTTACCTGGCAAAGAACACCACCATTTACCTGGATGTGTTCCAAGAGAGACAACTCAGACTCAGGTTACAGTTGAACTCATACTGAAGTTGCCAGTTGCTGAGGTTCATGACATCGACAGCTTCATAGATCCTGACCACCCCATCAGCTGAACACGTGGCCTGGGGACACAAGACTTTATATTTTATATTTAATGCCAACACAGACAAAACTTTCTATTATATGTAATGTCAGTACAGACAAAACTTTCTATTACATGTAATGCTAACACAGACAAAAATTTCTATTATATGTGATGCTAACAAAGACAGAACTATTACATTCACTGTAAGGGACCGAGCTATTGCTCTTTAACAGCCCCGGCAAGTATGGAACAGGCCTGTCTCATCTGCTGGGCAGTCCCGTAGATCAGGCTTTCGACCCCAGTCACACCAGTCGCTAATGTCGAGCACTCGGCTAGAAGGTGCTCTACTCTCCCCGGCGCCTGTCCACAATGGTGGCAGCTCGGATCCCGCAGTGGGTGCAACCTGTTCAAGTAGCTCCTGGTAGGGTAATGCTCTGTTCTTATCTGGGTGATGAGGCTCTGCTGGTGGTATTTAAGACTCCACCATTGGTCACCCTTGCAGTTTGTTTTTGGCATGCTCCGGTAAAATTTCGGGCAGTGGTACCCTGTTCCCATTCTTTAATCCATTCCTCATGGAAGAGGTCCTTAATCCAGGCCTTCGCCCCCAGTTGGGTCATTGGTCGGTTAGGTTGAGGCTGGGAAGAGCCTTGCCTCGCAAGATAGTCAGCTCCGTTTTGTGGAGGGATCCCCACATGTCCTGGGATCCATTGAAGGGTCACTGTGCCTCTGTGAGACTGTAAGTCTCGTACAAGCTACAGTATTGCTTGCGCCATCTTCGTGTCTAAAGAGCACCATATCACAATTTCTAGAGCAGATTGTGAATTGGTAAAAACTACGATGGATGGAAATGTTTTGCATCTGGCAAGCCGACGGCGCACTTGTTTCAGACCCAACTTCTGCATCTGTTGCAGAGCTATTTGTGCCGTTCGGCGTTCGGGCCTGAAATCTCCTCTGTTGGAGGTACCCTCTTTGGGCACCGTAGCCTGCCCACTTCTTGCTGATGAGATAGGAGCCGTCCATAAAGACTGAGACCGTGTCGTCTTTATAAGCCTTAATCATCTCTAGTGCGGCCCCCTTTTGACATTCAGGCATTAAAATAATGAAATTAATTTTAGAAAACACATTTACACAAACAAACACGTCCACATGCCAAAAAACATGTCCACATGAATTTCAAACACAATTGACCATAGTTTCTTAAAGAACTGACCAGATGTATTAACACAAACACAAATGACCATAGTTTCTTAAAGAACTGACCAGATGTATTAACACAAACCATATGACCATAGTTTCTTAAAGAACTGACCAGATGTATTAACACAAACACAAATGACCACAGTTTCTTAAAGAACTGACCAGATGTATTAACACAAACACAAATGACCACAGTTTCTTAAAGAACTGACCAGTTGTAGTCCCAGATGCTTTGGAGCAAAGCCCACATCGGTGACTGAAGTTCTGCTGTCTACCAGTGATGTCCTCTTGAGCCAGGTGTTTGTGGATGAGCCACCTTTGCTGCTGATGTCACTGCTTAGCTCCTCCCAGACTGCAGCGGTGCGGTCAAATGAACATGTAGCAAGGACCTGGCCGAATTCAGGATGTGCCCACGTTACTCTCCAAACAGAGCCGCTGTGAGTCTGACATTATTAAAAATATTAATGATAATTTAACTTTTGTATCTGATACAAAACAAATTTTAAGTTTACAGTCACAACTGAAACAAATTTTAAGTTACAAAATCATATTTAAATCAAATGTGCATTTAAGTAACATATGACACAAATATTGCCCATTTATGGGTAATGTTTGAATAGTCTCAGGTATAAATTAAGGCTTAAGTTTTTTTAAAATAATTTTTTTGATGTTGTTAATATTAATGTTGAAGATAATAACATCTCTAAAGTAATGAAAACAATCTAAGACAAAATCTAAGAGATATATTACAAAACTTATGTGATAGAAATTATCACAAGTATTTGTGGTTATTTACATATGTCTTGCTCTGATTTTCCAGGATGTACATTATTCGCCAGGACGTTACATTATTTGCCAGGCCATACATTATTTGCCAGGCCATACATTATTTGCCAGGACGTACATTATTTGCCAGGCCATACATTATTTGCCAGGACGTACATTATTTGCCAGCACTTACATTATTTGCCAGGCCATACATTATTTGCCACAACATACATTATTTGCCAGGACGTACATTATTTGCCACGACATACATGATTTGCCAGGACCTACAGTATTTGTCCCTCTGACAAGTTTGCCGTCTGGGTCACAGTTCATCATCAGCAATGCTTCCAATTTGTTTCTCGGTCAAGTTGATCTCAATGATTCTCAATCAACTTTTTATAAATGTCAGTTTTCCAGAACCTCTGTCCTTATGTAACTTGTGATAATCAAAGAGTTCGTCAATATTTATATCAGGTAAATGACACTCCATAAGCATCTGAATATGTTTCTTTCTTTTCAGTATGATATAGCAGCATCAAGCACAATTTTTACAAGTACTGATGTGCTTTGTAGTCACGTGTGTTTGCAAAAATCTGAGTCCATATCCCCATTATTTCCATAATCGCCGTCTTCATTATTTCGGTTTCTTCTAAGAGACCTTTCTTCGAAGAATCACCAAATCGTCAGGCTTGAAACAAATCAAGTCCTTCCTTTTTGAAAATATTTGAAAGAGGACATTTTCTTTGACAATTTTTTGTTTTAGCCCGTAGGCTTGACCCAAAAAGCTATCAGACAATGCCCATTCTGCCTCTGAATGCATTCCATGATACGAAAATAGATAAAAGCTGTTTGAAAAACTCACCTTCCAACTTGCTGTACATTGCCATTTGCCATCATCCAGATCCCAAACCTACAGAAAAACATGAGAGTTTAAACCTACAGAAACAGATGAGAGTTTAAACCTACGAAACTGCTGAGAGTTTAAACCTACGGAAACTGATAATAATAATAATAAAGTTCATTTCAAAAACACGCTTCATCCCCAAAGGCTCGAAGCGCGGTACAAAGTCAACAAAATACAAATCTATAATTTACCACATTTAAAACAAACGCAACACTAAAAAAACTAATTACTAGCATACAATTGCAAAGTCTTTCTAGCCATTTCAACCCCAAGCAACACAGCCATCATGCATTAACTGGAAAATAAGTTTAAACCTACGGAAACTGATGAGAGCTTAAACCTACGGAAACAGGTGACAGTTTAAACCTACGGAAACAGATGAGAGTTTAAACCTACGGAAATAGGTGAGAGTTTAAACCTACGGAAACTGATGAGAGTTTAAACCTACGAAATCAGATGAGAGTTTAAACCTACGGAAACAGGTGAGAGTTTAAACCTACGGAAACAGATGAGAGTTTAAACCTACGGAAACAGGTGAGAGTTTAAACCTACGGAAACTGATGAGAGTTAAAACCTTCGGAAACAGATGAGAGTTTAAACCTACGGAAACAGGTGAGAGTTTAAACTAACAGAAACAGATGAGTTTAAACCTACAGAAACAGATAAAAGTTTAAACCTACAGAAACAGATAAAAGTTTAAACCTACGGAAACAGATGAGAGTTTAAACTTACAGAAAAGATAACACTGAGAAGAGTTAAAAATCTACAGTAAAATAACACAAGCTCATATTATAATTTTCTTTTTAGTACTGTGATATCATCCTATGTCACTTCTAGTGGTGAATAGGCAGTGACTTGTAATGGTGAATAGACAGTCACTTCTAGTGGGGAATAGACTGTCACTTTTATTGGGGAATAGACTGTCATTTCTATTTGGGAATAGACTATAACGTAGAACAATTAGAACAGATGTCTATTATTGCCTTCATTGTGTTATCACTAGAACAGATGGCCATTCTTACCTTGACAGTGTGATCACTAGAATAGGTGGCCTTACCTTGACAGTGTGATCACTAGAACAGGTGGCCATTCTCCTTCCATGGTAATCAAAAGAAACATCATGAATAAGATCTTTGTGTTGTGATGATATGCACTTGGCAACAAACATCGTCGTAAGAGTCTAAAAGAAAAGAAATGACCAATGAAACATTGTCTTTTTTAATATAACAACTTATACTAGATACAAAACGGACTCAGAAAAGAAAAGAAATGACCAATGAAATATTGTCTTTTTTAACATAGCAACTGATCCTAGATGCAAATGGGACTCAGAAAAATCTATGACATTAACTTGTGATGTATAACTATTGTGGTGTGACATATAACTATGCAGTTTGACAGCTAATTATTGCAGTGTGACATATAACTATTATGGTGTATAACTATTTTAGTGTGATGTATAACTATTGCTGTGTGATGTAGTGTAACTATTGCAGTGTGATGTATAACTTTTGCACACTTTTAAAAAAGAAATTTAAAAAAAATGATAATACCAAGTACCGGTAACTAAAATTCAATATTAAAAATTACAGATTTCATCATTTCATATAATCATTTTTTAATCACTAGCTTTTAACAATATTTTAAAAAGTAATTTTCAAGATGGAGAAAAAAAAAAGGGGGGGGGGGAGAGAGAGAGAGTGAGAGACAGATGGGATGGGTGTAATCCGATAGATTCCCCTCCAGAAGACAGTATCAGTAAGGAAGAAAAAATTTTGTCAACTCCAAACAAGGCTTGTAAGAACACAACTGGATGGGCCAATCTAAGGCCTCCTTTTCATCAGTGTTTGGGCAAAGGTTGGCGAGTAGTATAACTGTCACTAGGGGCAATAGGCATGATGATACAGTTCTGCGCCCTCAAAACCAAGTAAGTTAGTTTGACTGGTTAAGTTGGGGTTTCAGGGGAAATACCATAGAACTCACCAAGTTGTCTCGGGACCAGGTGGTGGATGTTGTAATGCTGCAAGAGACATTTAAGGAAAAACATAGGAAAAAAAATTATAGGATATTCTGTGCAGAGGTGCAAATACACCAAGTGTCAAGGGACAGCCACCCTCATCAAGAACTCACTCACAGTGGAACTTGTTAAAAATCTTGGTGGGACAATCTCATCATTGAATTAGTTTGATCTGTTAATAATTCCTTTACTATGACAGACATTGAAACAAACTTGGATCCTATGGGACTGCCTAACCTAATGCCCTACTTAATTCATTAGTACAATAATAGTTTCAGCAGAACTAGATCTAAAGGCAAAGGTCAGCCTGAAAGCGCTTCATGCAATTGGTAGTGATCACCAACCCATCCAGACTAACATAGATGATAGGCAGATCAAAACCAAAAGACATTTTGCTTATACACAAATACGGGGAAGTCAGACTGGAGTGCGTTCTTAAAAATCAAACAAAAGTTCTTAGAACTAGAGTTACTAATACTAGAACCACTACTTTGGAGTTCTGAAAGTCAGAATCTGGATGGACATATGGTGCTTTATAACTTTTTAGTAGGCTACTTGTAGGCCATGTAACTTATGGCAGAGCAGGCCTGTAGCCTGTACTGTACTATACTAATTACTATACCCTATATTATAATATAAGAATACTATACTATATTGACTATATACTATAATATACTAATTAGGCTAATACTTATTAAAATTAGGCCTATAATAATAATAGGTCTAAGTTTGATTACTTTAATTAGTATTAGCCTAATTAGTATTTATATTATAATTAAGTATAATAATTATAATAGTTTAATTATTAATAATAGTTACAGCAGTCAGCAGTCAGTAGCAAAAAAAAATAAATCACAAATTTCTCACTCCACCTCACACACACCCTAACCTTTACACCTGTCTGTCTTTTTCAATAATAATAGTTACAGAAGTCAGCAGTCAGTAGCAAAAAAAAATAAATCACAAATTTCTCACTCCCCCCCCCTCCCCCCCCCCGTTCAGATAATTATTAAACGGCATAGAGTAACATATTCATGTGTAGGTATTTTAAATTTAAAAAAATAATTTAATTAAAGCTATGTACTTATATAAATGTCATAAATAATTGTAGGATATCACAAGCAAAGTTGATCCCTGTTATATTTGGTAACGCTCTTTAACGAGATCTGTAATAAAATCGAGATAATAATTTCAGCGAGATGACAATTAAGAGAGGTACACATTTATAGCATCCAATTCAATACTCAAATGCTGGACAGATTTGAACTTTTTTTTTGTTGTTGTTTGTTTTTGTTGATGTTTCTTAGTTCAATTCTTGCAAAAGTATTACAACACAAATTGAGTAATTTAAATCAGCTCAAAGTGGTTGAGATATGCTTATGGCATGGAGCAGAACATGACAGTCTGACATGGTCCAAGAATACATTTTTGAATAGTCAAAAATAATAGAATACTAATACTATTCTATTACATATAAATTATAGCAATAATTTTGAAACTTTGAAATATTATACGAACGTCACTTTATTGGCCAAATGCCAGATGAGTGAAGTGGGTGCACCACCAAAACCCCATGGGAAAACAACTCATAGGCAGACCTTGGCTTAGATGGGTGGATGATGTGAAAAAAGATATACAGTCTACATCAACTGGGAATCCAAGCATGCAAAAGAAAAGCATCAGTAGTTAGGTCTGAGGTGGAAGGATGTGGTGAGGCAGTTCCAGAGCCCTACATGGGTTGTAGAACCACTTCTAATGTTTTGTGCACTTTTATCTCAAAATTATTTTTTTTTTATTTAACTTGATTTAAATAATTTTGTATGACATGCTGGGTAAAAGTTAAAGTTAAACGAGGACACATGAAAATTATGAAGAAACATACAGCATACTCTGATAAAGAAGGCATATTGCCTAACGTCCATTTAATTGCCTTTTCTTTTCATTTCAAGCCCAAATATATCTTGCTCCAAAATCCTTCAAATGGCTTGAACGCAGACCAAAATTAAGTTAATGAAAATACTCATTTCAGACTGATCTCGGGTTTATTACATATCTCGGTAAGATGGGTGACCGCTCTTCACTTAAACATCAGCTCTTCAACTTGTGAGTTGTGTCTTAGGTAAACAGTCTGGCAAGACGCAATTATTATTTGGCTAAATTGAAACTTAATCATTGCCTAGTAGTAGTTTTTCCTCTCGAAAAAATTCTAACAATGTTCATAAACGTTTCTGGTAGGATCTGAGTTATTTGCCTAGGTATGCTACTTAGATTAGACAGGCCTACCCAACTGACCACTAAACTCGAGTCTTAGAGTTAGTTAGAGCTTGACACACAATTTGGTGACTCGTACTATCACTGGTCATAACTGACTACTTAATAAGTTTTTAGTAGCCTCAGTTAGCAGTAGCGGTTGAATAGGTCAAACTCATCAACTGAAGTGATTCCTTAGTTAATTATTAGTATTAGTAGACTTAGTCTTAGTAGTAAATAATTGAAATATAATTAAATTAACTTTCCAGTGTTCCAGCTTTAACTTTAATTTTAGCACTTTGGCTATTTTTAGAGAATTATTTTTTTACCTGATTCTGCCATAAAGCACCATGAAGTGATAATTTTATTTTCAGAATTAATGTGTTAGGTATTAAAAGTTTTAATTGCAACTTTAATTTTTAACGCAATTATATTATAATATATTTTAACTTATCTAGCTATGTAATATTAGTAATAATATTATCATTAAATTTAATTAATAATATATCTGTGCTCTGTTCACTAAGGCGTCCATTATCTTATAATATATATAGACTATGATACGAGACTATGACTATGATAGTAAGGGGTCGTTCACAAATTACGTCACGCTCGGGAGGGGGGTTGAGAATTTGTGACGGGGGGGAGGGTAGGGTAAAAAATTAGTGACGTTACACATTTTTAAAAAAAAAAATCTAAAATTTTCTAATTTTTAAAAATCTTTATTCAATTAGTTTTAAAAACCTTAATTTGAGTTGGAAACTGCCTCAGGTATTATAAGTACTGTGAAACTCAGTTGCTCAACCCTTCTGGACATATAAAAAAATGACGCAAAAACTGTTTTGGCCATTTTACATTCGGCTTGGTAAGACTTCGTTATTGTATGTCAGTTTTCTAATAATACTACATCTTAATCCATTATGGGAAAATGTTAAAGAATGAAATAGAAACTTAGTATAGTTATGAAAATTTTATGTAAGTTTTGAATTTTTTTTAGGTGTGTGGGGGTGTGTAAAGAGTTTGTGACAGGGAAGGAGGGGGGGGTCTGAAAATATCATTTTTGGTGTGACATAATTTGCAAAGACCCCTAAGGTAAGGTGTCTCCCTAAAAATAATACTAGTTTGGGACAACTTATTTTGAACTTCAACTTTTGCACTTATCACATGACTAATTGAAACTTTCCCTGACCAATGATCTAATGGTGTTTGCACACAGCATTTTGTATGAATAAAAGTATGAGAATAATACTATAGTAGTATAGTATATGCTAGTGACTGTGAATGACTGCCCATGACAATGTTTTCCACATGGCAATTTAAGATAATTTATAATATGAACTCTACCGGGTTTTTAAACCTCAAATTAAATATTCTTGTTTAAATGCCTTCTAAGTTCACTCTAAAATACAAGTTATCAAATATTTTTTATGCGAATAGTGATAATAATTGAATATTTCATAAGTATTGGTATCTTCCACCATTAAAAAGGGGCCGTGGTCAAAATGGGGCAGGGGACCTTATGGTAATGCATGTTGTTTAGATGAGCATAACTAATGGCCGACATGTCCTAGCTCAATGACCGTTGGCACAAGTATACATTAATATATAATGCAGAGTAAGAATTAATATGAAGGATCACGAGATGATCATATAAGACTGGTGCTGTGCTCAAGTAATGGCCTAATTTTCCATAATAATGTTTTGCCTTTTTTCTATCAACCCCAATATTAGAAATTCATAGGTATATATATATATATATAGATATATATATATAGATATATAGATATAGATAGATATAGATATATATATGAGGCATCTTTCCCTACAAAATTCGATAAGACGTTCAAAAATATATCTGCAGTTTTTAACTAGTGTGTCAACCAAAAGTATTGATTAAACTCTATACGAGCAGTTTTTAACCAGTGTAGCAGAGTCAGTGTCACAACGGGTTCACGAATGCCACCAAAGGTTGACGTGCATCATACAATTTTTTTCCCCAATGAAATTCCATTTTTGCCATCCTGTATTTTTTAACATGTTTGATGTTTTTCGGCCATACTCAATTATATTTTTTCACTGGATTTTGAAAAATAAATCTATCTGCACTCAACTGTGACGACACACTTGAAAATCTTAACTGGCAGTGCAATAAATTGGTCAACAGGAAGCTGAAATCATTCGTTATTAGTACTACAGCATTGTTCTGTTGTAACTACTTTGAGTAGTAAACCATGATTACAAATCAGTTAGTGTAATTCTTATTGTAACTTCCAATCAACACCTTATACCCATAAAGCACATATTGTAAATAATAAATAAAACTATCCACAGGTCTTTTCCCCCAATATGGAGAAAAAAGGGGCTATAAATTGACGGTAAACTTAAAAACTTTGTTAAGATGGACAAAACGTATTTCCCTTATTGCTTTAAAACACAAACCTGTATTACAATAGCCAACATCCATCCATCCATCCCTGTGGCGCTACAGCCCATGTAGGGCTTTGGCCGGCCTCACCATTTCCTTCCACTCAGACCTAACTAATGCCTTTCTTTTGCATGCTTGGACTTTCAGCTGTTGTAGATCTTTTTCCACATCATCCATCCATCTAAGCCTAGTTCTGCCTTTGAGCCTTTTTCCTCTAGGGTATTGGTGATGCACCCTCTTTGTTCCTCTGTCATTTGGCATTCTCTCTAAGTGTCCTGCCCAGCATAGCCTGTCTCTTTTTTTTTCTGCTAATATTATGGGATCCTTATATAGACTGTACAATTCATGGTTGGTTCGTATTCTCCATCCATATTCATCCTTTGTTGGTCCATATATTTTCCTCAGAACTTTTCTCTCCCATGTGTTTAATAGGTTTTCTGCCGTTTTTGTTAGGGTCCACGTTTCCCTTGCATATATTACAACTGGTCTGATTATATAAATCAGTTTTGGTCTGGTTTAATAGTTTTCTTTGTTTCTCTTGTAATGTTTTTACTTTTGAATATATTCTGACTACTGAAGTATGCTAACAGCTAGCACAATTAATTGAATAGGAAGTCTAATTACATCTAAATTTCTATCAGATTAATCATGTACATAAGTTTATGGCAAAATTCCTATTTTCAGACAAAAGATGCAATCTATCCAAATGTAACCAACCTAAAATGCGCGCACTGGGCGTGGGAGATTATTCTTGAAAATTAGGCTTATCAAGAACATGCATGCCTTAAAAACATTGATAGTTAAATGATGTAAAGGTTATAAACTATAAGTTTTTCAAATTTCTATTTTTTCAATATGGTTTTCATGCTGCTTTTTGGGGGGGATTTTTGTAGAGTTTTTGATCCCTATGGTTGGTGTTTATCATTGGGGGACTTTTGTAAAGTTTTTGATCCCTATGGTTGGTGTTTATCATTGGGGGACTTTTGTAAAGTTTTTGATCCCTATGGTTGGTGTTTATCATTGGGGGACTTTTGTAAAGTTTTTTATCCCTATTGGTTGGCATGTATCATGGGGGACTTTTGTAAAGTATTTTATCCCTATTGGTTGGCATGTATCCTGGGGGACTTTTGTAGAGTTTTTTATCCCTATTGGTTGGCATGTATCATGGGGGACTTTTGTAGAGTATTTTATCCCTATTGGTTGGCATGTATCATGGGGGACTTTTGTAGAGTTTTTTATCCCTATAGGTTGGCATGTATCCTGGGGGACTTTTGTAGAGTTTTTTATCCCTATAGGTTGGCATGTATCCTGGGGGACTTTTGTAGAGTTTTTGATCCCTATTGGTTGGCATGTATCCTGGGGGACTTTTGTAGAGTTTTTTATCCCTATAGGTTGGCATGTATCCTGGGGGACTTTTGTAGAGTTTTTTATCCCTATAGGTTGGCATGTATCCTGGGGGACTTTTGTAGAGTTTTTTATCCCTATTGGTTGGCATGTATCCTGGGGGACTTTTGTAGAGTTTTTTATCCCTATAGGTTGGCATGTATCCTGGGGGACTTTTGTAGAGTATTTTATCCCAATAGGTTGGCATGTATCATGAAATACAAATTGTTATAAAAAGGGTTACTGAAAATTTTCTCAACAAAGAATCTACAGTGTACAGTAATTTCTAAGTAATATGACACATGTAGTACAATTCAATAAATCTGATATAACAGGCCTGCACAACATAGGGCCCGCCAGCATCCACTTTGTGGCCCGTGATGTAACGAAATATTCTATTTTATTATTATTTTCTTAATATCTTTACCCCCTTTCTTTCAGCTCGTACAAGTTTTTTAGAAAGTATAATGACCTGCCTTACATTTTGAGTTGTGCAGGCCTGTAATATAATAATAATTGACCTGGACACTAAAGCTAGATGAACCAGCCAATGTTTTAGTGTGGGTTGTATTTTGGAATGTTAGAAATGAGTTTTTCTGTGCCTCAAAATTGTTCAAAGACTGAGCTCTATTATATAGTATAAACTTGTCTAGAAAGTAGACAACTATTTTATTATTATGGCAAAATATGGCTTCAGCTTGGAGTAAGTTGATTGGGAAAGTAGTGCATCAGTTGACAAGGCCAAACTATAATTTATAATATCCCGCAAGAGAAAAAATAAGCTGAATGAAAATACAGACTGATGGAATGTGCTACACTTAACATTAAGTATGGTACCGAGTACAGATAATTTTTACAAACTACAAAAACGGGTACAGTTAATGTCCATCTTATCTTTATGTTTGCTCAAGCTCAATTGTATGTAAGTAAATACTTGAAATTGTAATCTGAAGTAAATTATTTAGTCTGAAAAAAGAAAGACCCTAACTTTGTACTAATTGTAGGCCCTAATTCTAATACTAATAGTGTACTAATTGTACCATTGTAGGCCCTAATAGTACACCAATTGCACAATCTCTTTAGTGTATGTACTAAAGTTATTTACATATTCCCCCCTAAACTCAAACGTACATATTCGTATAGCCATTTATCAGAGTGGGAAATTCTAAAACTAAAATATAAAAGTAAACAGATTTAGACTTCCTAAAACTATGCTAGATTTATGAGCAAACATAGCTCAAACATTTGCTATTAAAATAAATGTTAAGTTGAACATTAAAAAGGAAATGTACTCTATCAACAGGAAGTATGACAGAATATACTCTCTAAACATAATGTACTCTATCAACAGGAAGTGTGACAGAATATACTCTCTAAACATAATGTACTCTATCTATCAACAGGAAGTGTGACAGAATATACTCTCTAAACATATTGTACTCTATCTATCAACAGGAAGCGTGACAGAATATACTCTCTAAAAATTCACTGGAAAAAAATTTCGTTATCATTTTAAGTTACTTGAATTATTAGTACCGTATTATTAATGATTCATGTCTAAATAGGGACGACTGATGTAAAGTATATTAACAAGTATTTTTCCTATCTTTCAGGTGAACAAAGTAAAAAGATGTCATTATTTCTTACCAGATAACGTGGAGCAAATTATCATCATGGATGACGATACTCTTTTAAATGGCGGACCACAAGGCTCTAGTGGGGAAGCTAGTGTCGTTCTTCTAGATTTCTCCCAAAAGTTAAGTCTTGTGGATGATGGAGAAGATGTTAGACCACAGAGAATTGTTGTGGATGATGGAGAAGATGTTAGACCTCAGAGAACTGTTTCAGAGACTTGTAATTTACTGGATACAAATGATGAACAAAGATTAGTTTCCCCGAATATTGAAATAGCATCAGAAAAATCAACTGTAGCCGCGCCCAATGAAGGTGAAGAACAGATGAAGTTCACATGTTCCTGTGGTGAGAGGTTTGACAAGTCTGTGCAGCTGGCATCACACAGACGTTGGTCATGTAGGCTTAAAGAAAAAACAGCACAATGCGAAGTCTGCAACAACTGGTTCGCCTCGGATGCGGGCTTGAGGAGGCACATGAAACATGCCCATGGTGGGATCGTCAGCTGTGACAGTTGCAACTTGCGCTTCCCCAATAAAATTAAATTGACGCACCATTGGATGGAGGCCCACCATGATGACAGTGTGGAGGAATCCAAGTCCCTCAAGTGTTACGTGTGCGGGGATACGAATTTCGATAGTAAATTTGAACTGGAATGTCACCTGGTTGTTCACAAGTATGAGAAACACCAGGAAAAGTTGTCTCAGCATGGACATTGGCCGCACCAGACTCCTTGTTCCCCTTACCCTCCACCCTGTTTGAGACGAACGCTGCGCCAACATCTTAGACCACGCTGGCCATTTTTCCCCTTTCACCGCCCACCTTTTCCCTTCCATCACCCGCCACATTTTCCGTTTCTGCATCACATTCCTTTCTCCCCACCTGGTGCTGCTTCTTCAGCGCCCAGGATGGAACGAGCAAACCCGCCCGGCTTAAGCACTGCAGATGAATCTGTTTTTACCTCTGTACACGGCACACCACCCCAGCCCCCTCGACATGATCACACCTATATAGAGCCCACTGACACGCCTGCATTCTTCCCACCCCATCTCTTCAAGCACCACCAGCACCACAGGTCACATGGTAAGATCAAGTGGAAGAAGTATCTGAAACTCATGAAGAAAGGGATAGTACCCCCCCTGCAGATGGATCCACAGTACACAAAACTATCTGATGTGGATGAGTGTCAGTCTAGCAATACTTCGAAAAATGTGGATGCTGACAAATGTGAATTTAAAATTGCCTGCAAATTCTGCGATAAGGTTATTCAAAGGAACAAGGTGAATTGGCACCAGCGTCGTGAGTGTCCAGTTCTTTCTGTCCATCGGTGCTCTGTGTGCGACAGGGTTTTTAGGAAAAGACACTTTCTGATAAGACACATGCACGAACAGAACCATTACAATGTGAATGGCCAGACGGCCAACAGTTTGGCCACATCCTCCGATGCAGTGTCCAGCAGCCTCTCTGTTCTTCAGGACAAAATGAACACGTCACTTCAGCTGCTCAATGTCTCAGCCACACCAGCCATGCGGGTTGAAGCTGATGATGAACTGGCTGCTAAGACTGAGTCTGATTCATGTGCGCTGAAGAGTGATGAAGAGTGTAGAGAAAGTGGTGTCGATCGCCCAATGACTAAAGACATTGGTAGAGTTGATTACATGAAAAGTGATGTAGAATGTAGAGAAAGTGGTGTCCAACCCCCAATGACTAAAGCCATTGAAAGAGTTCAGTGCAGCATTTGTAGACTGTATTATCACAGCAGAAACCAGCTTTTTGAACATTTAAAAGATCACATCAATCAGGTCCTCACTATTCAAAAAGTCCAAGAATGGACATTGAAGTCCTCAGATTATTTCTTCCTCACTGACGCTGATGATGACCATGACAGAGAAACAGTGACGTCTGCCACGACAAGCACCAGTTGTCTGGACTCTGAGATTACATCGACCACGGACGCGACAGTCAATTTTTCTAGTTTAGACTCTACGATATCTGCTGACCCCAAGTGGTCCAAGCCGCACAGAAAACGAAGCGGCCATCGTCATAAGGGAGATGTTCTCATCTGTGAATTTTGCAGTGAACAATTTGGTTTCCGCAAGGACCTCCATTTTCACATGGAGACCAAACACAAAGACAGCACGTTAAAATGTCCAGTCTGTAAGAAGAAATTCAGCTGGAAGAAACGTGGCAAGTTTTATGAGAGGCATCTCAACTCGCATTATGGGGTCAAGGTGTTTAAACACAAGTGTGAAACCTGCGGAAAGACATTTCTAGAAAATTCCAAACTGCGCGCTCACATGTCTCTCCACAACACGGAGCTGCTCCACAGGTGCGCGGTGTGTAAGAAAGGTTATGCAAATAAATCTAGTTTAGTACGGCACGAGCGGAAGCACACAGGAGTCAAACCGTACCAGTGTCAAGTATGTTCAGAGAGTTTCATGGAGAAGCGCGAGTTGCTCCGCCATTCCACCACACATACAGGTGTGGCCCCCTTCAGCTGCAGCGAGTGTGGTCAAGGGTTTACTCTGAAGACATCTTACATGTCTCACATGAAGAAGAAACATTTTAAGCCTTAGCAATTACGCCTTAAACAATTAATACTTATTGTTTTACAGCAATGTAGAAGTGGGGTGACTTTGGCCTGTTTGGAACTTTAGAGTCTTATGAACTATTAGTTACAGAATAGTGTTATGAACTACAGAATAGTGTTATGAACTATTAGTTACAGAATAGTGTTATGAACTATTAGTTACAGAATAGTGTTATGAACTATTAGTTACAGAATAGTGATATGAACTATTAGTTACAGAATAGTGTTATGAACTATTAGTTACAGAATAGTGTTATGAACTATTAGTTACAGAATAGTGTTATGAACTATTAGTTACAGAATATATCTTCATGCAAACAATATAAACTATTGAGCCCCAATTTATAGCTTATGTTTTTTGTTAATTGTAATTTCAAGGAGATGAAAATTTTTTCCTTAAACATATTATTAATGTGTCACTGGAGTCTTATCATGCAGGTATAAATAAAAGGATTTTTTTTGCTTCAACTGAAGTAGTCAGGCAAATTTATTTTTCATGAACGTTTAGAAAAGAAATGCGAATCAAGAAATATACTTTTGTATTGTTGTAGACTCCCTAAATTCTTATGACAATGTGTCTCCTTGCAACATTGATTATTAAAATTTTTCCCATCTGACTGGGCACCGCTGGTCATCTGACTGGGCACCGCTGGTCATCTGACTGGCCATAACATTTATTTTTTTGAAATTGTCATTCTTATTATACATGCAATACTTTGAGCCTATCAGGTCATAACCAGTATTATCTGTAGACATATTTGTGTACCATTTCTAGTAAATAAAGGTGAAGGATCATAGATACAACTTTAGATGTTTTTAGACAAAGCGAAGCATTAAGTTTAATGCATTTTCTTATTATTTTATATATCATCATTCTTTTACTCCATCATTCTTCTAATGTTTCCTTCTTCTGTGTACTTAAATAAATAGAATGACATTAGACATTAGAGTTAGGCTATTTCACCCCTCCCCCCTTTTCCTTAGAGATGTTACAAGTGACAGTATGTTTTCATCCCCTCATATTGTTATAAATGACAGCATGTGTTCATCCCCACTCTTATTGTTATAAATGACAGCATGTATGCATCCCCATTTAGTTTGTTTCCAACTACCATTGACTGTATTCCATGTGATAAATTACAGAGAAGCATTATTACCTTACATTTCATTTGTTTTTATTTATCCACTTTCAACTGTGGTCAACACGCCCTAGCCCTGGAGGGACAGTGGGTCTATCATTTGACCTGCTTGCTTGTGCCTGGTTGTTGGCCCGCTTGTGCCTGGTTGTAGGCCCGGACAGTCAACTACTAGTTACTTTCTTACTCACACAGTCAAATAGCATTATTATAATTAAATTTTCTTTAAAAAATATTGATTTAGATGTCCTGGGACTGTGTACATGACTGGAACTCCAACAGTTTTTTAAGCATAAAATATATTTCTAAAGATTTTTATCAATTTTCAATTATACTGTACCAGGTGAATTTTTGTGTGAAGTTGTATTTATATTGTGTATTCTTTTGAGTTGTACTAGGATATAATATATTTATTTCTGAAACTTTCTATAATATGACTGTGTGTGATCATGTGACTGTGTGTGATCATGTGACTGTGTGATCAAGGTGGAAGATTAAACAATAAAACACCAACAAACTTATTTTATTAATACAGCTGTGTTTTTGCCCATCATTTCTTGATTAAAATAAAAGAAATAAAGCTTTCAAATAAGTGGTTCTCAAACTCTTTCTGGCTACTGCTTTCTTAGGACCATCATTGTCAGAAGTACAAGTTTAAATGACCCACTATGGTAGATCATTACACAACTAAATAATGTATGAGTGTAACATTACACAACTAAATTTAAGAGTAACTACCATATTTTCGCGCATATAAGACACCCCCGCGCAGGTTTTGACAATTTGTGTAAAAAATATTTTACATCAGATGCATCCGTATGTCATATGCAGGTTTTGTATGTAAGATGCAGGTTTTGACAATTGGTGTCAAGAAAAATGACATAAGACGCACAAGGCCTAGCAATCAGCTGCACTCAGCAACTTATATCCAGTAGTTTCCTTTCCTTTTTTTACATAAATGAAAATTTGTCCAATGTTTCATCACCCGTCGGAAGTAAACACAGCTTTATTACCATTTTTTTTGTTTACTGTTATATCAAAGAATTAACTGAGATGGGACCGCAAAGATTATTGTTTCTTCTTATCTGCCTCCAGGCCAATAGTACCTGGTTTGAGTACCTGGTATCTAGATTCTAGCAACACTAAACACCAGATTTAAAGGCCGCTTCATAGATCTGCTAGGCTAAGTCTTCAGCCAGTGGGATTACATAGACCAATAAATGCAGATGTATGCGGTTAGCATATATAAACATGGAAATAATCTCTTGTTACAGTATATATAAATGAGACACATCGAATTATAAGACGCACCCATATATGACACACCCTGGGTGCGGGGTATGTAAAACTTTATATAAGATGCGTTTTATATATGCAAAAATACGATAAATGTAAGAGTGTAACAATATTTGAACACTGCACCAGAAATTGTATACAATATTTTACTTCTGTTAATTCAAGAGTAAGCCGATTCGTTGGATCAAGGGTCATCTTAGCGTTTTTAAAGTGTACATTATTTTATATACAAGGTTGTAGAAATTTAATGTCTTTTCACTGCTTGATTCTTAACGCCCTGTATGAATATAATGTGTTCAATGATTAATTCTTGAGGCGATGCATGAACGGGTTTAGTAAAGGAATAGCTTTTTCTTTTAATGCCTGGTTTGGCTCTGCACATTTTTATGCCATTTCTTTGCACAACGCTGAATGAGCACAATGAAAACGCTGAATGACCTCAATGAAAACGCTGAATGACCACAATGAAACCGCCTACCATCATACATAATGGGGACTATGACACAAGAAGCCTTTTTTTCTTGCCATCTGCCACATAGAATGAGATACAAAAATTTCATACCGTAACCAAAACTAAAAAATCACTAATTGCTCAGACTCTTGTTATGTAGCATATTTAATTAATCACAAAATACTACCAACAAGCATCTTGAATCAAACCGTTCTCTTATAGCTCAGACGGGCTTGGAAATGAGTATAACTTGAGACGGCCGAATTTGCGCTGTAATATAAGTTAATTTTAACCAGCAAACACAAATTCGTTTTTACTGAATATAGCAAATATATCAGAGGTAAAAGCAATGTCATGTAATGTAAGCACCAATAGAAGTACTTGTGCCAACTAGTATCTGATTGATACTATTATATTTTTGTTTGAAGTAAAGTTGCAGTAAAAAAAGGGACACATCACAATTCTAGATGACATTAACATAATATATAATATAAAAAAGGCATTAAGTTGATTCAGAGAATCCAGTAATTGTGGATAACATAATATAAAGCATCGAAATAGAGTGTATCCAATAATTAAAGATTTAAAATTTGAGTACAAGTAGATATATAAAAGTAATTAAGTAACACCAATAATTGTAGATATATAAAACTAGTTGACAACTATAATTATAGATACTGGTATATAAAAGTAATTAAATGAAAATGACACCAATAATTATCGATATCATATAAAAGTAATTAAGTAACACCAATAATTATAGATATAATATAAAAGTAATTAAGTAACACCAATAATTATAGATATAATATAAAAGTAATTAAGTAACACCAATAATTATAGATATCATATAAAAGTAATTAAGTAACACCAATAATTATAGATATAATATAAAAGTAATTAAGTAACACCAATAATTATAGATATATAAAAGTAATTAAGTAACACCAATAATTATAGATATCATATAAAAGTAATTAAATAACACAAATAATTATAGATATCATATAAAAGTAATTAAGTAACACCAATAATTATAGATATATAAAAGTAATTAAGTAACACCAATAATTATAGATATAATATAAAAGTAATTAAGTAACACCAATAATTATAGATATCATATAAAAGTAATTGAGTAACACCAATAATTATAGATATCATATAAAAGTAATTAAGTAACACCAATAATTATAGATATCATATAAAAGTAATTGAGGTTATCCAATAATGATTGTTTTTAAAACACAGCTGTACAAAAAAAGTAAGTACCAAAAATAATTGTTTTAAAATTTGAGACAAGTACTGGCTCATGTGAATGTCAATTAATATGTAGTTGTTATGGTTGTACAAATCACTTGAAGTAAATTAAACTTTTTTCAACAGCTTGTTCCCTGCAGTCATCAAGTGCTATTCTTAGCAACACAACCAATCATACTTGTTTCTGCACATTTAATCTTTTGACGGTTCCAAGACGGCCGTCAATCTCCAACAGCTCACCTGTGTAAGGAAACAAAGTCAATATTATTGACTCGGAAAAGTAATTATTTATGGACTGGTTTGTCCAAAAGTAAATTATAAGACTCAAATTCAATTGGACTGGAAGGACAAGCCAGTGTTTTTGTGTTGAGGGAGAATTATTACATACTCAATGCTTGTACTTCAGTAGATCAAAATCTCCCAACTTATTTGGGTTTAAATTAAATAAATTTTCTTAACTGCCGCTCATCAGTGTATAACAGTTACATCGGAATATAATATAAAAGATACATCACAATATAATATAAAATATACATATCAATATAATATAACAGTTACATAAATAGATTTTGGAAACAACGTATTGGGGAAAACTGGCTCAAATAAACTGAACTATCCTGAGTTTAGTATTGATGTAGCATTGCATACACTGAACTATCCTGAGTTAAGTATTGATGTAGCATTGCATACACTGAACTATCCTGAGTTAAGTATTGATGTAGCATTGCATACTCTGAACTAACCTGAGTTTAGTATTGATGTAGCATTGCATACACTGAACTATCCTGAGTTTAGTATTGATGTAGCATTGCATACACTGAACTATCCTGAGTTTAGTATTGATGTAGCATTGCATACACTGAACTAACCTGAGTTTAGTATTGATGTAGCATTGCATACACTGAACTATCCTGAGTTTAGTATTGATGTAGCATTGCCTACACTGAACTATCCTGAGTTTAGTATTGATGTAGCATTGCATACACAGAACTAACCTGAGTTTAGTATTGATGTAGCATTGCATACACTGAACTATCCTGAGTTTAGTATTGATGTAGCATTGCCTACACTGAACTAACCTGAGTTAAGTATTGATGTAGCATTGCATACACTGAACTAACCTGAGTTTAGTATTGATGTGGCATTGCCTACACTGAACTAACCTGAGTTTAGTATTGATGTGGCATTGCCTACACTGAACTAACCTGAGTTTAGTATTGATGTGGCATTGCCTACACTGAACTAACCTGAGTTTAGTATTGATGTGGCATTGCCTACACTGAACTAACCTGAGTTTAGTATTGATGTGGCATTGCCTACACTAAACTAACCTGAGTTTAGTATTGATGTGGCATTGCCTACACTAAACTAACCTGAGTTTAGTATTGATGTGGCATTGCCTACACTGAACTAACCTGAGTTAAGTATTGATAATTGATGTGGCATTGCCTACACTGAACTAACCTGAGTTAAGTATTGATAAATGATGTGACATTGCCTACACTGAACTAACCTGAGTTAAGTATTGATGTGGCATTGCCTACACTGAACTAACCTGAGTTAAGTATTGATGTGGCATTGCCTACACTGAACTAATCTGAGTTAAGTATTGATGTAGCATTGCCTAAACTGCACTAACCTGAGTTTAGTATTGATGTGGCATTGCCTACACTGAACTAACCTGAGTTAAGTATTGATGTGGCATTGCCTACACTAAACTAACCTGAGTTTAGTATTGATGTAGCATTGCCTACACTGAACTAACCTGAGTTAAGTATTGATGTAGCATTGCATACACTGAACTATCCTGAGTTAAGTATTGATGTGGCATTGCCTACACTGAACTAACGTGAGTTAAGTATTGATGTAGCATTGCCTACACTGAACGAACCTGATTTAAGTATCGATGTTGCATTGCCTACACTGAACTAACCTGAGTTTAGTATTGATGTGGCATTGCCTACACTGAACTAACCTGAGTTTAGTATTGATGTGGCATTGCCTACACTAAACTAACCTGAGTTTAGTATTGATGTGGCATTGCCTACACTGAACTAACCTGAGTTTAGTATTGATGTGGCATTGCCTACACTGAACTAACCTGAGTTAAGTATTGATGTGGCATTGCCTACACTGAACTAAACTGAGTTAAGTATTGATGTGGCATTGCCTACACTGAACTAACCTGAGTTTAGTATTGATGTGGCATTGCCTACACTGAACTATCCTGAGTTTAGTATTGATGTGGCATTGCCTACACTGAACTAACCTGAGTTTAGTATTGATGTGGCATTGCCTACACTGAACTAACCTGAGTTTAGTATTGATGTGGCATTGCCTACACTGAACTAACCTGAGTTTAGTATTGATGTGGCATTGCCTACACTGAACTAACCTGAGTTTAGTATTGATGTGGCATTGCCTACACTGAACTAACCTGAGTTTAGTATTGATGTGGCATTGCCTACACTGAACTAACCTGAGTTAAGTATTGATGTAGCATTGCCTACACTAAACTAACCTGAGTTTAGTATTGATGTGGCATTGCCTACACTGAACTAACCTGATAAGTATTGATGTGGCATTGCCTACACTGAACTAACCTGAGTTAAGTATTGATAATTGATGTGGCATTGCCTACACTGAACTAACCTGAGTTAAGTATTAATAAATGATGTGGCATTGCCTACACTGAACTAACCTGAGTTAAGTATTGATGTGGCATTGCCTACACTGAACTAACCTGAGTTAAGTATTGATGTCGCATTGCCTACACTGAACTAACATGAGTTAAGTATTGATGTAGCATTGCCTAAACTGCACTAACCTGAGTTAAGTATTGATGTGGCATTGCCTACACTGAACTAACCTGAGTTAAGTATTGATGTGGCATTTCCTACACTAAACTAACCTGGGTTTAGTATTGATGTAGCATTGCCTACACTGAACTAACCTGAGTTAAGTATTGATGTAGCATTGCATACACTGAACTATCCTGAGTTAAGTATTGATGAGGCATTGCCTACACTGAACTAACCTGAGTTAAGAATTGATGTAGCATTGCCTACACTGAACGAACCTGATTTAAGTATCGATGATGCATTGCCTACACTGAACTAACCTGAGTTTAGTATTGATGTGGCATTGCCTACACTGAACTAACCTGAGTTAAGTATTGATGTGGCATTGCCTACACTGAACTAACCTGAGTTAAGTATTGATGTGGCATTGCCTACACTGAACTAAACTGAGTTAAGTATTGATGTGGCATTTCCTACACTGAACTAACCTGAGTTTAGTATTGATGTGGCATTGCCTACACTGAACTAACCTGAGTTTAGTATTGATGTGGCATTGCCTACACTGAACTAACCTGAGTTTAGTATTGATGTGGCATTGCCTACACTGAACTAACCTGAGTTTAGTATTGATGTGGCATTGCCTACACTGAACTAACCTGAGTTTAGTATTGATGTGGCATTGCCTACACTGAACTAACCTGAGTTTAGTATTGATGTGGCATTGCCTACACTGAACTAACCTGAGTTTAGTATTGATGTGGCATTGCCTACACTGAACTAACCTGAGTTTAGTATTGATGTGGCATTGCCTACACTGAACTAACCTGAGTTTAGTATTGATGTGGCATTGCCTACACTGAACTAACCTGAGTTTAGTATTGATGTGGCATTGCCTACACTGAACTAACCTGAGTTTAGTATTGATGTGGCATTGCCTACACTGAACTAACCTGAGTTTAGTATTGATGTGGCATTGCCTACACTGAACTAACCTGAGTTTAGTATTGATGTGGCATTGCCTACACTGAACTAACCTGAGTTTAGTATTGATGTGGCATTGCCTACACTGAACTAACCTGAGTTTAGTATTGATGTGGCATTGCCTACACTGAACTAACCTGAGTTTAGTATTGATGTGGCATTGCCTACACTGAACTAACCTGAGTTTAGTATTGATGTGGCATTGCCTACACTGAACTAACCTGAGTTTAGTATTGATGTGGCATTGCCTACACTGAACTAACCTGAGTTTAGTATTGATGTGGCATTGCCTACACTGAACTAACCTGAGTTTAGTATTGATGTGGCATTGCCTACACTGAACTAACCTGAGTTTAGTATTGATGTGGCATTGCCTACACTGAACTAACCTGAGTTTAGTATTGATGTGGCATTGCCTACACTGAACTAACCTGAGTTTAGTATTGATGTGGCATTGCCTACACTGAACTAACCTGAGTTTAGTATTGATGTGGCATTGCCTACACTGAACTAACCTGAGTTTAGTATTGATGTGGCATTGCCTACACTGAACTAACCTGAGTTTAGTATTGATGTGGCATTGCCTACACTGAACTAACCTGAGTTTAGTATTGATGTGGCATTGCCTACACTAAACTAACCTGAGTTTAGTATTGATGTGGTATTGCCTACACTGAACTAACCTGAGTTTAGTATTGATGTGGCATTGCCTACACTGAACTAACCTGAGTTTAGTATTGATGTGGCATTGCCTACACTGAACGAACCTGAGTTAAGTATTGATGTAGCATTGCCTACACTAAACTAACCTGAGTTTAGTATTGATGTGGCATTGCCTACACTGAACTAACCTGATAAGTATTGATGTGGCATTGCCTACACTGAACTAACCTGAGTTAAGTATTGATAATTGATGTGGCATTGCCTACACTGAACTAACCTGAGTTAAGTATTAATAAATGATGTGGCATTGCCTACACTGAACTAACCTGAGTTAAGTATTGATGTGGCATTGCCTACACTGAACTAACCTGAGTTTAGTATTGATGTGGCATTGCCTACACTGAACTAACCTGAGTTAAGTATTGATGTGGCATTGCCTACACTGAACTAACCTGAGTTAAGTATTGATGTGGCATTGCCTACACTTAACTAATCTGAGTTAAGTATTGATGTGGCATTGCCTACACAAACTAACCTGAGTTAAGTATTGATGTGGCATTGCCTACACTTATCTAACCTGAGTTAAGTATTGATGTGGCATTGCCTACACTGATCTAACCTGAGTTAAGTATTGATGTGGCATTGCCTACACTGAACTAACCTGAGTTTAGTATTGATGTGGAATTGCCTACACTGAACTAACCTGAGTTTGGTATTGATGTGGCATTGCCTACACTGAACTAACCTGAGTTAAGTATTGATGTAGCATTGCCTACACTGAACTAACCTGAGTTAAGTATTGATGTGGCATTGCATACACTGAACTATCCTGAGTTAAGTATTGATGTGGCATTGCCTACACTGAACTAACCTGAGTTAAGTATTGATGTAGCATTGCCTACACTGAACGAACCTGATTTAAGTATCAATGTTGCATTGCCTACACTGAACTAACCTGAGTTTAGTATTGATGTGGCATTGCCTACACTAAACTAACCTGAGTTTAGTATTGATGTGGTATTGCCTACACTGAACTAACCTGAGTTTAGTATTGATGTGGCATTGCCTACACTGAACTAACCTGAGTTAAGTATTGATGTGGCATTGCCTACACTGAACTAACCTGAGTTAAGTATTGATGTGGCATTGCCTACACTGAACTAACCTGAGTTTAGTATTGATGTGGTATTGCCTACACTGAACTAACCTGAGTTTAGTATTGATGTGGCATTGCCTACACTGAACTAACCTGAGTTTAGTATTGATGTGGCATTGCCTACACTGAACTAACCTGAGTTTAGTATTGATGTGGCATTTCCTACACTAAACTAACCTGAGTTTAGTATTGATGTGGTTTTTCCTACACTGAACTAACCTAAGTTTAGTATTGATGTGGCATAGCCTACAATGAACTAACCTGAGTTAAGTATTGATGTGGCATTGCCTACACTGAACTAACCTGAGTTAAGTATTGATGTGGCATTGCCTACACTGAACTAACCTGAGTTAAGTATTGATGTGGCATTGCCTACACTTAACTAACCTGAGTTAAGTATTGATGTGGCATTGCCTACACTGAACTAACCTGAGTTTAGTATTGATGTGGCATTGCCTACACTGAACTAACCTGAGTTTAGTATTGATGTGGCATTGCCTACACTGAACTAACCTGAGTTTAGTATTGATGTGGCATTGCCTACACTGAACTAACCTGAGTTTAGTATTGATGTGGCATTGCCTACACTGAACTAACCTGAGTTTAGTATTGATGTGGCATTGCCTACACTGAACTAACCTGAGTTTAGTATTGATGTGGCATTGCCTACACTGAACTAACCTGAGTTTAGTATTGATGTGGCATTGCCTACACTGAACTAACCTGAGTTTAGTATTGATGTGGCATTGCCTACACTGAACTAACCTGAGTTTAGTATTGATGTGGCATTGCCTACACTGAACTAACCTGAGTTTAGTATTGATGTGGCATTGCCTACACTGAACTAACCTGAGTTTAGTATTGATGTGGCATTGCCTACACTGAACTAACCTGAGTTTAGTATTGATGTGGCATTGCCTACACTGAACTAACCTGAGTTTAGTATTGATGTGGCATTGCCTACACTGAACTAACCTGAGTTTAGTATTGATGTGGCATTGCCTACACTGAACTAACCTGAGTTTAGTATTGATGTGGCATTGCCTACACTGAACTAACCTGAGTTTAGTATTGATGTGGCATTGCCTACACTGAACTAACCTGAGTTTAGTATTGATGTGGCATTGCCTACACTGAACTAACCTGAGTTAAGTATTGATGTGGCATTGCCTACACTGAACTAACCTGAGTTAAGTATTGATGTGGCATTGCCTACACTTAACTAACCTGAGTTAAGTATTGATGTGGCATTGCCTACACAAACTAACCTGAGTTAAGTATTGATGTGGCATTGCCTACACTGATCTAACCTGAGTTAAGTATTGATGTGGCATTGCCTACACTGATCTAACATGAGTTAAGTATTGATGTGGCATTGCCTACACTGAACTAACCTGAGTTTAGTATTGATGTGGTATTGCCTACACTGAACTAACCTGAGTTTAGTATTAATGTGGCATTGCCTACACTGAACTAACCTGAGTTAAGTATTGATGTGGCATTGCCTACACAAACTAACCTGAGTTAAGTATTGATGTGGCATTGCCTACATTGACTATGCAAGGGATGCCATACTCTCTGGCCACCACAGCTCCTGTGAAATTAAATGAACTGAATGTTACAACATACAAAAAATATGATACATATAATATCAGGCTACAAGTATTGGAGGTGAACACCTTAAATTTCTCTTGGGGAAATCTTTCATTTTTATCATACAGTTGGTCATACAGTTGGTCATACAGTTGGTCATACAGTTGGTCGTACAGTTGGTCATACAGTTGGTCATACAGTTGGTCATACAGTTGGTCATACAGTTGGTCATACAGTTGGTCATACAGTTGGTCATACAGTTGGTCATACAGTTGGTCATACAGTTGGTCATACAGTTGGTCCTTTAAGTAATGGCATAGTAAACTCTCCGACACTTTTTTTAACTTGGGCTCGTTTCCTGTTAGTAATTCCTTTGGTTTTGTTCATTTGATTTCTAGAGTTATTATATAAAAAATATGTCATAAGCCATACTGTACTCACACCTAAAGGAAATGTAAATAATACAAATGTCATGCTATATGTCATACACCTTAAAGCAATGGTAAATAATACAAATGTCATGTTATATGTCATACACCTAAAAGCAATAGTAATAATACAAATGTCGTGTCATAAAAGACTTACCATGTGATATAAGACCACCTAGTTCTGTTATGAGTCCACCAATAAGTGGGAAGTAAGGAGACCATCCAACGTCAGTACTGCTGACCACAAGGATGTCGCCAGACTAGCAGATTAAGCAATGACATCATCAGACTAGCAGATTAAGCAATGACATCAGACTAGCAAATTAAGCAGTACCATCATCAAACTAGCACATTTAACAATTATTTATGATTATTTTAAGATTCCATAAATGTATATCAAATCTAAAAAAATATTTATTCCATTTAGGACTTCATTTTTAGAATGACAGCCAGCCTACAAATGTGGCAATCAATATTTTCTCTTCTATCAAACCATGTTGTCACTCAAGATACGTCCTTATGTTAAAATGACAGTCCCATTACCTTGATGACAGATGCTTGGTCCAAACTGAGCACCACCCTCGCTGGCCCGGTCACTTGACCTTGACTCACTGGCATACCTGGTGTTAATATCCGTTTATTAACATAATGATTGTGACTATTTATATAAAAAAAAAAATGTTTAGAGACTTAAATGCCCATAAAAATAATTGTAGCACAGAGACTGTCATTGTTAGGCATACAGGTAAAGCATTTAGTAATATTTAGGTATATCTAGTACATGAATATCTAGTACATGAATGTCTAGAACAGGAATATCTAGTACTGTAATATCCAGTACAGGAATATCTAGTACTGTAATATCCAGTACAGGAATGTCTAGTACTGTAATATCTAGTACAGGAATAACTAGAACTGTAATATCTAGAACAGGAATATCTAGTACAGGAATATCTAGTACAGGAATATCTAGAACAGGAATATCTAGTACAGTAATATCCAGTAAAGGAATATCCAGTACAGTAATATCTAGAACAGGAATATCGAGTATGTAATATCTAGAAGAGGAATATCTAGTACAGTAATATCTAGTACAGGAATATCTAGTACTGTAATATCTAGAACAGGAATATCTAGTACAGTAATATCTAGTACAGTAATATCTAGTACAGGAATATCTAGAACAGGAATATCTAGTACAGTAATATCCAGTAAAGGAATATCCAGTACAGTAATATCTAGAACAGGAATATCGAGTACTGTAATATCTAGTACAGGAATATCTAGTACAGTAATATCTAGTACAGTAATATCTAGTACAGGAATATCTAGTACTGTAATATCTAGAAAAGGAATATCTAGTACTGTAATATCTAGTACAGGAATATCTAGTACTGTAATATCTAGTAAAGGAATATCTAGAAGAGGAATATCTAGTACTGTAATATCTAGTACAGGAATTTCTAGGAGAGTAATATCTAGTACTGTAATATCTAGTACAGGAATATCTAGAAGAGGAATATCTAGTACAGAAATATCTAGAAGAGGAATATCTAGTACAGGAATATCCAGTACAGGAATATCTAGTACTGTAATATCTAGAACAGGAATATCTTATGAAGGAATATTTAGCACTGAAATATACATGAAAATCTAGTACTGCATAATCTTTAAAAAGGAATACATTGTACAATAATATATTCTACTGTAATATATTGTTCAGTTACATAATATGTTCAGCAATATTTTTATAATACCCAACAATGGAAATATCTAGCCCCTAGCTGTGATACCTTTGAGACACTCTACATTGGCAGTATCAGCACGACTTGTGTTGACATCAATCTGCAATAAATGAATATTGTAAGGAAACCTTGCTTACTCTCTGACAAACTTCATCTAGATCTGGTACTCAATAAGGAAACAACTCCGGTGATACATTGATAATTAAACTCGTGTTCTTTATTGGGCTGTCACTTGCTTACACTTTCACTCAATTCACAACTCTGACTTCTCCCTGCTATCTAGTTCTCAGTCCGGCCGCCTTCCTCTTCTAACCATCCGGCCGCGCTCTGTCTCGTCCCGTCCAGAGGTCCCTATTTATAGGTCCCTGGGTCTGTACTTGCGCCGCCCCTTTTCTCAATCGGCGCCAGATTACAAACAGACCAGGGAAATGCCCTGGTCAGATGGATGGCCGGTACCGCCCCCAGCGCTTGATCCTTCGGTCGTGATCCCAGGTCAGATGGCGCCGGCTGTACCTGGTCAGACGGCCGTAATTCCTGGTCAGACGGTTACGTCAGACGCCCCCGGCGCCGTTGTGGTCCAAACTCTCCACAATATAAAAACTAATTTTTGTTGCTTGAGATTTGAGTGTTCAATAGAAATGATAAAATGTATGTAGTTTGCCAGTGCACAGCTGCACATGGTGACGAGTTGATATGTACCGTGTTATGTAGGTTTCTGACACTACAAGTCAATAAACTAAACAGAGTGGTCTCTGTGATACTAAACACATCACTGAGATACTACTCACTTCTCTCTGAGATACTACACCTCTATCTATGACACCCTATTTCTCTCTTTGATACTACCCACCTTAGATACTACACACCTCTCTCTATGATACTACTACACACCTTTCTTTAATACTACACACCCCTCTCTGAGAAACTTAACACCCATCTCTGTGAAACTACTCATCCATCTCTATGTGGTTCTTTTACTCTGAAGTTTTCACTTATGCACTCTGCTCATCCCTATTTAGACTAATTGCTTGTTAAGGATCGGCTTTTTCCTCCAACCTGCCTTCAGACACCTGGCTGACCCAACACCACATTCAAAACTGGGTCATTCTAAGTAGGTCACATTGACATACGGTAAATACAATCCAAATAATTATTTGTTACCATTTAATGAAACCTGGCAACATTTATTTAAAAAAACATAAATTATAAATAATGTACCAGTTGAGGACCAGCTTTACTGATTTTCATAAACTTTTTATCTGCTTGTTTGGAGAGTATTTTTCTTCTCTTTTGGGCTCTAAAAAAAGAAAAAAGGAAAGTTGATGGTAACATTATGATGTAAAATGATTCTAAATACACTTCATTAAATTTTATCATCCATACATCTAAGCCAGGGGCATATTTTAAATATTTGATATAAAACAGATGTGGACGAAATGGTCAAAACCGGATGATGGCAATGATGGTAGAATAGTCCAATTAAATATCATCCACAGTTTTCATATTGTTTGGTTATAAAAATGTCTAACAATATATCAACTTATCAAATGGGAATAAAATATTGATCAAATTGTGATAAAGGGAGTGCACTATGCTAAGCCTGTAGTCATTGAATCTTTGAAAACACATACAAAAATCAACTAAAACAATGAAAATCAAGCATGAAAATATCCAGTCTCAAGATGTGACCCCATTTTATTTTGAGTCCGATAAAAATTTCCTGACGAAGACCCTGTGACACATAAAGGTAGATCATTAAATGTGCAATCAGTTTGACATTAGTTTCATCCATTCTGCTCTCCTTCTCTCCTCACATGAAATTAGTTTCATCCATTCTGCTCTCCTTCTCTCCTCACATGAAATTAGTTTCATCCATTCTGCTCTCCTTCTCTCCTCACATGAAATTAGTTTCATCCATTCTGCTCTCCTTCTCTCCTCACATGAAATTAGTTTCATCCATTCTGCTCTTCTCCCATGGAGCCTCAGCACAATGTAAACTTACTTGATTATAAGACGAGCGGAACGAGAGGTAATCAGTTTTGAAATCTCTTGATGGGTCAGGAAGTATATCAGGTCAGGATCTGGTAGCCTCCCCTTTTATTTTTTTGAAATTAGTTCAAAGTTTAGAGGAATTAAATGAGCACGGGAAAAATAATTTAAAAAAGCAAATATCAATTTTTTCAACTTATTACAACCTGATGTTAGTGAATGGACTGATGTTAGTGAATGGACTGATGTTAGTGAATGGGGACTGATGTTAGTGAATGGACTGATGTTAGTGAATGGACTGATGTTAGTGAATGGACTGATGTTAGTGAATGGACTGATGTTAGTGAATGGACTGATGTTAGTGAATGGACTGATGTTAGTGAATGGACTGATCTGATGTTAGTAAATATACTCATGAATGGCAGTTAAATATTGAAACTGGGGGAAATAAAGAGCTTAGATTCCTGAGTAAATGGCCTTTATTATTGCAATATATTTTGCATACTTAGACTCGATCGGTTTCGAGTATACAAACATTTTACTAAATCAAATAATCAATTTTAATGTAGAAATAACTTTTCACAAAATGCTTTTTATTTTTAATATAGATTTAAAAGCAGAATTCTCCACAGCCTGGATAACAATGCACTCCCCATTTTCTCAACAGCCTGGATAACAATGCACTCCCCATTTTCTCAACAACCAGGAAAACAATACACTCCCCATTTTCTCAACAGCCTGGATAACAATGCACTCCCCAGCAAGGAAATCAACATTAAGTCAAAAACAGTGATTGTTACTTGAAAATTAAAAAAAAAAAAAAGATTACCTCCTTGTATAGAAGAGTGGCCAGTCTATAATAAGCCAACTTGAACAGCTCAACCATCTGAATGGACACTGACTGTTGAAACATTTCAGGAACAATAGCACAACAAAATCCCCATATAAAAAAGTCACATTTATAATTTTAGAGAAAATTTCACAAAATTCAACTCAGCTGATTTTGTAGCAGCCCAAAACAATGTTTGATAAGCAACTGAGGTAATTTTATGTTTCAATATTGTATGTGAAGTGGAGGGCTTGGCATCAAATTCAGGAAGACACAGAGTAACATGTCCAAGTTCAAAAGAGTGTAACATGAAGCATCTCTATTAGTTGTACCTACTGGATTTATAATATAAATGTTGTTTAACATATGAGGAGAAAACTCCAGGAGGTGAAAGAAGAAAAGAAGGAAGTATGAGATTATACAAGAGGCTGTAAGGGAGGCAGGCTGTATAAGAGGCAGACTGACTGTTACATGAGGTAATCATCTGTGCCACCATTGCTCCTGTGCCACCAGTTCTCCTGTGCCACCACTGCTCCTGTGCCACCACTGCTCCTGTGTCACCAGTTCTCCTGTGCCACCAGTTGTCCTGTGCAGCCAGTTGTTCTGTGCCACCACTGCTCCTGTGCCACCATTGCTCCAGTGCCACCACTGCTCCTGTGCCACCAGTTCTCATGTGCCACCAGTTGTCCTGTGCCACCAGTTGTCATGTGCCACCAGTTGTTCTGTGCCACCACGGCTCCTGTGCCACCATTGCTCCTGTGCCACCATTGCTCCAGTGCCACCAGTTGTCCTGTTCCACCACTGCTCCTGTGCCACCATTGCTCCTGTGCCACCACTGCTCCAGTGCCACCACGACTCCTGTGCCACCATTGCACCTGTGCCACCATTGCTCCAGTGCCACCAGTTGTCCTGTTCCACCACTACTCCTGTGCCACCATTGCTCCTGTGCCACCAGTTTTCCTGTGCCGCCATCTGTCCTTTGCCCCCAGTTCTTCTGTGCCCCTTGCTCCAGTGCCACCACGTCTCCTGTGCCACCATTGCTCCTGTGCCACCACTGCTCCTGTGCCACCAGTTGTCCTGTTCCACCACTACTCCTGTGCCACCATTGCTCCTGTGCCACCAGTTTTCCTGTGCCACCATTGCTCCTGTGCCACCAGTTCTTCTGTGCCCCCCATTGCTCCTGTGCCCCCATTGCTCCTGTGCCACCATTGCTCCTGCCCCACCATTGCTCCACACACTGAGTTTGATGAACAAAACTAAGATACTAGGTATATTTATGTGAATCACCTGAATTTGAATGTGTTTCTCAGTCTTACCTTTCCCCACTCCCTGGACCCAACAGCTTGCCATGACTTGGGCAACAGGAACCTGAGTATTTGGCTGATCTCAGGGAGAAGAAATCATAGCTACAGTAACAGTGTGTGTTGATACAATAGTCAAACATAAGAAATGATAGACATGTGTTTATAATATCAAACATAAGAAATGATAGACATGGGTTGATAGTATCAAACATAAGAAATGATAGACATGTGTTGATAATATCAAACATAAGGCCATGTCTTTAAAAGACTTTTTCTTGAACCTCTCAGGATCTAGTGCTGAACAGTTTCTAGACAAAGGTTATGAAAGTAATCTGAAGTGTGTCATTGACATATGCATCATTTGCTTACCATAAATGACAACACTACATTCAATTGAAATGAATAAACATAAAAGATTTTTCTAAAAGATTTTGTTAATATTTTTCAAAAATGCTATTGCGATATCCCTTTACTCAAACAAGTATTTGGTATTTTTAAATAAATTATACATGTTTGTTTGAATCTTAGCTTGGCGACAATGGTTCTGATGTTAGTGGAAATGGTAGCTTTATGCCAATGGTTCTGATGTTTGTTGAAATGGTAGCTTTGCGACAATGGTTCTGATGTTTGTTGAAATGGTAGCTTGATGCCAATGGTTCTGATGTTTGTTCAAATGGTAGTTTGATGCCAATGGTTCTGATGTTTGTTGAAATGGTAGCTTAATGCCAATGGTTCTGATGTTTGTTGAAATGGTAGCTTTGCGACAATGGTTCTGATGTTTGTTCAAATGGTAGCTTGATGCCAATGGTTCTGATGTTTGTTGAAATGGTAGCTTGATTTCAATAGTTCAGTACATACCGTTTAGTGAATGAGATTTTTGTCTTCATTTTAGAAAGCAGCTCAGACACAGACACTGGATCTCTTAGACTTTTTTCATAAGACTTTGTCTTCAGTATAATCTAAAAAATTAAAAAAACACAAATAAACAACTACACATCATAAACTATGAAAATTTGATGTGATGGTTGTGCTGTGATGGTTGTGCCGTGATGGTTGTGCTGTGATGGTTGTGCTGTGATGGTTGTGCTGTGATGGTTGTGCTGAGATGGTTGTGCTGAGATGGTTGTGGTATGATGATGGTGCTGTGATGATGGTGCTGTGATGGTTGTGCTGTGAAGGTTGTGCTGTGATGGTTGTGCTGTGATGGTTGTGCTGTGATGGTTGTGCTGTGATGGTTGTGCTGTGATGGTTGTGCTGTGATGGTTGTGCTGTGATGGTTGTGCTGTGATGGTTGTGCTGTGATGGTTGTGCTGTGATGGTTGTGCTGTGATGGTTGTGCTGAGATGGTTGTGCTGAGATGGTTGTGCTGTGATGATGGTGCTGTGATGGTGGTGCTGTGATGGTTGTGCTGTGATGGTTGTGCTGTGATGGTTGTGCTGTGATGGTTGTGCTGTGATGGTTGTGCTGTGATGGTTGTGCTGTGATGGTTGTGCTGTGATGGTTGTGCTAATACTGGTTAGTTAACAGACAGAACAGTTAATCAAGTTAGATTAGAACAAGCCTAACCATTAACTTCTGACTTGAGTTGTATTATAAGACATATGGAAAGCTTCTTAGCTCTTCATAACAGTGATTCTCAACCCTCTGAATGCTGCTACCCTTTAATACAGTTCCTCATGTTGTGGTGACCCCAAGCCATAACATTATTTTCATTGCTAATTCATAAATGTGTTTTCCAATGGTTTTAGGCGACCCAAATGTAAGGGTCATGTGATCAGAGGGGTCATGACCAACATGTTGAGAACCAGGGCTCTAAAACAAGAAATAAGTAAAGCTCCTCCTTCACTCTGTATCATGACATATTCAATTATTGACCAAAACACATATCACATTAGTCTTCTCTTGGGTTACCAACCTTCAGAACAGAAATGAATTTCTCAGGGGCAGACCGCCAGGATTTCTCTCTCATCTCAGCCTAGGCAGAGAAACAACGAGAGATAACAATGAGAGATAACAATGAGAGATAACAATGAGAGATAATTAGAGATAAGAATGAGAGATAACAATGAGAGATAACAATGAGAGATAACAATGAGAGATAACAATGAGAGACAACAATGAGAGATAACAATGAGAGATAACAATGAGAGACAACAATGAGAGATAACAATAACCATTGGTTCAAATCCACTCATAGTTTTCTCTTCTTGAGACCTTTATTTAGAATTGTATTTTTTGCACAAAAGCTAACTTACATGTACATTCAGATTTAACCCACGAACTGTGGCATGCATTATTCTGTGGTGTGGAGCTTTTCACAACGTTTGGAGTGCCATTTGAAATTGCATTAAATGACATAGAAATATTGATACAAGACCCCAATAAGTATATATTTTTAGAAAGGTTAATAGATGGGGATAAAGTTGACCATATTGCCAAACCCGTAAAAAATTTTTGCAGTGTCCTTGACCTTGGAGTTCTCAAGAAAAAAAAAATCAACAAAATGTCTTGCTTTAAAGTGCTCTTAACATCATTCATTTTTAGAGATACACTTATAAAACACTAATCTAAATGTTGTAGCCAATTTATTTATCTTTCAGAAAATGTACAGTTTGCTAAGGTTTTGATTACAATTAAAACTCTGAGAGCAATTTTAGTAATTTTAGCTCATTCATATAAGAAACTGGGACCACTGTAAAACCAAGTACAAAATACAAAATCTCAGGCAAAATAGTTATTATTGACTACTAAACATTTAAAAAGGAACTGTGGAACTGATTTGGATTGTTTAACTATACAATTTATTAGTTTTGATCTATAATCTGTAGCTTCTGTGACTAAAATTCAGTCAGTCCTTGCCCAGCCTCAAGGCCTAGCTTGAAGTCTAACAGTAGCCTCAGTAGGCCTACTTCAGTATCACTAAGACTAGTATAAAGTTCACGAGAAGAATAATATCAACTAATATCGTCATGGGGAAGGTTAAAATCATCATCAGTATCACTTAAATCCTCTCCTAAAAAGCTTTCAAACATATTTCTATTAGTTCTTGCACTGAAGGCCCAGCCATGGCTTTCAAACATATTTCTATTAGTTCTTGCACTGAAGGCCCAGCCATGGCTTTCAAACATATTTCTATTAGTTCTTGCACTGAAGGCCCAGCCATGGCTTTCAAACATATTTCTATTAGTTCTTGCACTGAAGGCCCAGCCATGGCTTTCAAACATATTTCTATTAGTTCTTGCACTGAAGGCCCAGCCATGGCTTTCAAACATATTTCTATTAGTTCTTGCACTGAAGGCCCAGCCATGGCTTTCAAACATATTTCTATTAGTTCTTGCACTGAAGGCCCAGCCATGGCTTTCAAACATATTTCTATTAGTTCTTGCACTGAATGACCCCAGCCATGGCATCAACCATTTTAGCTTTAAAAAAAAGCAGCGATATAAGACTCAAATTAAAAAGCACTTATTTTCAAGTTATCATGAAACAGCTTGAACTGGATGATGATTTAATTATTAATAAAACTATATTTTTTATAATTCTGGCTATAATTCCGCTTAAATATTGGATTGGAAGTTGCTATCGGACCGTGTTTTTTATCAGCTGATTTTTTTCGGCCGCCACAGTACAGAACAAGAATGTCGGCCGATTTTTTCGGCTGACCACAGTTCGTGGGTTAAAGACTAACGTACATACAATAAGATTTAATGACTAATATTACAATCAGATTTGTTTTATGTCACGCTCCAAAGATTTATTCAACTAGATGTTGTATGAATTCAGCTAATTAGGAAAAAAAATGAATTTAACCAACTTCAAATTGCATGGATTTAACCAACCATATTTTCTGTATTTCCCATATTCTTGCCGGTTGCTATGGACACATAACGTTAAAAACACAATTATATTTTGTACAGCTTGTTCCTTAAAATTGATAATGACCAAAAAAATTATCTGACCTCTCTCAAACATCTGTGTCCATGACGGCTAAGAAACTCATTGACAGCCTGGTCAAGCTCTTGGTCATCGAGGATCAGCTGGACACAGTCCTGGAAATTGACATTGTGTACACGTCATTAATGTGGACAGTTTTGTCAAAGTCATGCTTGTCTGGGTATTTGACATTAAACAATTCATTTATCATGATGAGACATTACCACCTTTAGATTTACCTTATCAGACGTGTTCATGAACTCCTTTAGTGACTTAGGACCTCTTACCTTGTCAGATGTGTCCAGAAACTGTTCTACTGATTTAGGACCTTTTTTTGCGATCATTCCAGCAATTTTCTGTTAACACAAAACAAAAAGTTATTTTTATGAAAATATATCAGAATTGATTTGATTTTTTTTTAAAATACTGTTTCATATCTTTAATACATTAAATTTTTCAAACGACATTTCAATGTTTGTATATGACCTAGTGTGACCGGAATAATAATGGCAGGCATATTTTGCTACTTTCCACCAGTTCTTGCACACTGTAGCATAACATGCATACTGTAGCATAACATCCACACTGTAACATAACATTGAGGGAGAGCCTTTGCTATGACAAGCATCAGAAAACGTACAGCCATAGCATGAGGGACTTCAGCACTGTAGACATCATCACAGTTGGACAGAAGTAAAGCTATGTCACCGTAGTGTTCAGAAGTCCAATCTAAATAGGACAGAAATGTTAAACAGTTCACTAGTTAGGTTTGGGCTAATGATTGGGGGTAGGATTATAGTCAGGATTATAAACCACTTTATACTCTTACAATGGAGCTACTAATTATAATCATCACACTTAATCCGGTGTCAGTAGGTTAAACAGGGTATGCCAAATCCAAATGGAAAAAACATGGGTTCTTTCTCTAAACTTACTTTCATATTAATCTATGATCAAAATATTTACTTTTATATCAATCTGTGTACAACCCAATAATTACCTTCATACCATCTGTGTGTGCACAATACTTACTTTGACATTCCCCTCCAATGACAGACATAAGAACTTGAGCCATGTTCCCTGACTTGGCACTGTTCAACAACGTCCACATCCACACCTACACAGCATTCAAAGAAAATTTTTACAACATTCATCAACAACATTTAGCAATGCTAATAAATAAGTCATTTAAAAAAAAGGGATATTTATAATCTTAAGATATCCCAAGTGGATGTTGTCCGCCCGGATGCACAATGTGCTGTGCTCTCATTTACTGCTTACCCGCCCCCCTCGCACGCGCTAAATGCACACATTATCCTATAAACATCTCCTTTATTTATGAATGTATTTCTAAAAGGGATTTAGTAAACCCCTTTAAGACTATAGAGAGTCAATGCAACTAAGCTTTGGTGGGTAATGGAGAGTCAGGCGGATTATTATTCCAGATGATGAACCTCTTCAAGTATTTTAAATGCACCATGTGATTGAGATGGTCCAGCTGGTCAATATTAATTCTAGGTAAAAGCAACATTTGAATGGTATTAAACAAAAATATTAATCTCATTTTTGTTATAAAATTAAACAGATTTGATCCATGTCATGTGTGGGGTGTGAGGCTGATCCCTGCCATGTGTGGGGTGTGAGGCTGATCCCTGCCATGTGTGAGGTGTGGGGTTGATATCTGCCATATGTGGTTGTATTGGTCTTGCTTAAAAGCTTATAATTGATACAGCACCAAATGAAGCATCCACAGCATCACATATTCAAGGCTTACTGTTTCATAGTCGGTCAGCTGTTGGTCAATGCAATGGTACAACTCGGCAGATGTCTTTGTTCTAGGGCCAACCTCATATGTCCGTATCCTTTCCTCCCATCTGGCTGTCTCTTTGCCTGCTTTCATCAACGTCTGTTTAGAATTGATGCACATGTCTGCTATAAACATTTAGCTGTAAACTTGGGAGATTGATGTAAATTGGTCAATTATGAATTCAAATTAATAAAATAAAATGCTGCAAAAATATTTGAGGAATAATATTGAGTGCTCATGGGAGAATTTAAAAAAAAAAATGGAAATGCTGCCACTGTCAATATTTCTGTCAGGATTTCAAGCATGAAATCACTTAGTTATGTCAGACTCAATTCAGGGTGAGATATTCTTTGAGGATGAGATATTCTTTGAGGATGAGACATTTTTTGAGGATGAGACATTCTTTGAGGATGAGATATTCTTTGAGGATGAGACATTTTTTGAGGATGAGACATTCTTTGAGGATGAGACATTCTTTGAGGATGAGACATTCTTTGCTACAATGTGTGTTTAATATTTAAGCCTTGAATTTAAAAAAACAAACAATTTAAGTGATTAAACCCGGTACAACATTTACTTCTGTAACAGCCTCGTTAGTTTTCTGTAAATGTATTGTTAGTTTTGAAGCAATATTTTGACAATGTTGCTTTACTGCTTCAAGTTCTAATTACCTCAGTACAACCAATGATCTATCTGCCTCAGTACAATCAAAGTTCTAACTGCCTCACTACAAACAAAGTTCTAACTGCCTCACTACAACCAAAGTTCTGTCTCAGTACAACCAATGTTCTAACTACCTCAGTACAACCCAAATTCTAACTGCCTCAGTACAACCAAAGTTCTAACTGCCTCAGTACAACCAAAGTTCAGTCTCAGTACAACCAAAGTTCTAACTGCCTGCATGAAATCACTGCTCACCCTCATTGTGTTAAAAAAGTTAACTGTCCTACGCAAGACTCCTGGGGATTTTCGAAAGTAGTATTTCTGTATTTCCTCTTCATTCAGCTCAGGAAGCAGTTCACCCAGAAGACTTATGGCCAAGGCATCTGTACGCACCATGAGGCTGCTGAGGAAAACCGAGCTTATGTCCTAAAAATAGACATAAGCTATAACTGTGAGTGATAAAAGCACAATTAAACTAATTTATTCTGAATAATGACATTGATCCCATTGATAAGTTATAATAATCTGAATAATGACATTGACCCCATGATAAGTTATAATAATCTGAATAATGACATTGACGCCATGATAAGTTATAATAATCTGAATAATGATATTGACACCATGATAAGTTATAATAATCTGAATAATGACAATGACCCAATGATAAGTTATAATATTCTGATTAAAGACATTGACCACTTGATGAACGAGGAGATAAACCTGACTTGCCATGAGACTGAGGAAAAGATGGTTGCAGCTGGACATGATGGCTTTAGGCAGATGGGACGCTCTCTGTCTCGCCCCCATCAACCTGGTCAACGTCTGCAGATGATCAAATTTTGATACAACTGTCACATGACTCTTTCCTCAAAAAGTTGACAAGTGTCTAAATTAATTAACTTCATAATGATACCATTAATGTCTAGAATAGGGGGAAAGATACCATGAATGTCTAGAGTAGGGGGAAAGATACCATTAATGTCTAGAGTAGGGGGAATGATACCATGAATGTCTAGAGTAGGGGGAATGTATGGATTGTCAGATGATTGATTGGCAGGACAGATCTTATCCATGTCACATTGGCATTTAACAAGAAGATTACATCATGGAATTCGGGAGGGGGGCACCTTACCGGACCGGGTGACACCAACCTTAGCTACAACACTGAATGTATTTGCTACCATTGCTAGTTGCTGCTGCTTTAAAAAAATAAAAGGTTTTTTTTTGCATTTCATTTAGCAGCAGTTAATATTTTTCTGGTGAATTTTATTGGCGCATTGCTTGCATTGGTAATTTTTTCCCTTGTTTTAAAAAAGTTAATTAAAGAAATAAATCTTAGGTAGCTAAATTAATTAATTATTGTTCAATTTTATGACAGTATAATTTATATGGTTGGTGGTGGGGGGGATGCTTACAATGGAGTGGGCTGGTAACGCTGCAAAAAAGGTTAAGTATCCCTTCCCTAGAGCCTTTACTAAGATACACCCGTGAACCTTTTTATTTTCGTTCCATCCGAATTTAGCGGGTAAGCTCTAATTCTATGATTCCCGTTTTCAGATGTGGCCATAAATTCTCATGACTGTCACTGTAAGTACAGCCTGATTACTCCTCCTCCTTGGCGCTCTGTAACTTGATCAGAAAACAATTCCTCGGACCTCCCATAACTGTACTGATTCTCTCAGTGATCGTAGTTTAAAAATAAAATAATGATAATTGTTGTATAAAAGAATAATGTTAGAAATGTCTGTAATTTAGTGTCATTAAGTGCAATTCTTTACTACAATATTCCGCTTTTCATGTGACGTCACATGGCTTGAGCCCCCCCTCACCACACATCATCACAAAAATCTGACCCCTACTCTCCTCCCACCACCCAGGCGTATGACGTCATTTACCTATGGCCCCTAATGCAAACTTTGGTTTTCACCGGTTTAATTCTAACAATTACAATTCAAAGTAGCGGTAAAGAAAGATAAAAAAATAAAGTGTCAGGTAAAAACCTAATAACTGCAATCAGTAGTTACTCAAGTATTGGTACCACATTGGATTAAACGTGGAATATTTTTGTGGAGCCCCAGTAAGGATGAAGAAGCAACCCAGGACAGGGGCATGCCGAGGAAATGCAGCACCTGGGCAAAGCCAGAAAATGTAGCCACTTTATATAAAGAAAAAAGTGCCGGGATTTTATATTTTAATTCCCTATTAACATCTTTTCTAAAGACAATTTTGGCCCCCATGATGTTGATTCCCAGTGTGACTGCCCTCTTTGTCCCATTCTTATGGCTCTCCTAGGGCAGCATGGCACCCAGAGCAACGCGGCATATGTAATGGGAACCACTGGGCTGGCTAAACAGTCCAAGATGTAAACCCGTGACATAATTTTTTAAAAAATTTCTTTGACATCACAATTATCTATAAATTATTTGATTTAGTTGGTCTTGTGTGTGGGGGGAGAGGTCAAAAACTTCTTGCGCATATGAATGGGTGGGGGGGCAAAAAATTAGCTTTTTTTCATATGTTCTAAATGGATGTTTTATAAAATAAGAGGAACTAACGTTAATTAGATAACATGAATTTCTTCCTATCTGTAGTAACAGCTTTATTCGATAACATGAACTTCTGCCTACCTGTAAGCTGTAGTTGATAGCGTTACAGAAAAGGTTATGGGTCAGTGGAGTTACCGCCCCTGGCATCATTTCACTGTAAATGGAAAGATCGGCTGCCTTAAACATTTGGCAATAATAAACATGCAAGAAGAACAGTCTTGTTAATTTAGTCTTGAACTCTGGACTTTGAACACAACAGAACTGGACTGGACACTGAACACAACAAGACTGGACACATCAAGATTAAACACATCAAGACTGAACACATCAAGATTAAACACCAAAAGACTGAACACATCAAGATTAAACACCAAAAAACTGAACACATCAAGATTAAACACCAAAAGACTGAACACATCAAGATTAAACACCAAAAAACTGAACACATCAAGATTAAACACCAAAAGACCGAGCACATCAAGACTTAAAATTATAGCACTTAAAACAACAGAAATATTCTTCATTAGATACCAGGACTTTCTAACACAGTAAGTTGGTTAAAAACATAATATTGAAATATAATATTTTATTACAGTTATTTAACATGTTGCATATAGCTAAAATATATGTCACCAAATGTAAACTGTAAAATATATGTCATCAAATGTAAACTGTAAAATATGTTACCTAATGTTACCGGTTGTCCACCACTGAAAGTCACATGATTTTGGTGTGTCAAATTCATGAATTAAATCGTCCTCAGTCTCAGAGTCAGCAACTGTGATTGGTCGGCACTAAGACGGCGAAACAAAGACAAGATAAATGAAAGTGATTGGTCGGCACTAAGAAAGATAAATGACAATGATTGGTCAGCACTAAGAATGATAATGAGAGTGATTGGTCAGAACTAAGAATCATAAATGACAGTGATTGGTCAGAACTAAGAATGAAAAATGACAGTGATTGGTCAGAACTAAGAATGAAAAGTGACAGTGATTGGTCAGAACTAAGAATGATAAATGACAGTGATTGGTCGGCATAAAGACAGATAAAAAGACAAGATAAATGACAGCGATTAGTCAGCCCTTAGGCAAGATAAATGATAGTGATTGGTCGGCACTAAGATAAAATACAGTGGAACCCACTTATCGCGACCTCGGTTAACTCGCGAACCCTGTTATGTCGACATTTTTTATGTCAACCAACAAATTCCCTCTTTGTCTCAGAATTTTCTTATCGGTCATGCCGATTCTTTTATGTTGCCAAACCCTAATATCTCGAGCACAAATGTCGGCAGAATTTGCCACTTAATGTCAGCTATCTTGATCCAAATGACCAATCGCCGGCTTTTGAACTCCCCAAGAAGAAATAGCAAACAACAAATAAGCAAGTTTTGCATAATTAAAAATAATTATTGATTTTCAAAATACAGGAGTGAAAGAATCCTTAAATTGGGTGTTATTTGGAATCGCAAAAATTACGAAAGCAACCGAACCTTTCAATCACCAGTAATTCAAGCAAAATTTGATATTTTCATGACCTACTTTGTGTATCAAGTGATCTAGCCTTGACCTTTCAATAAAATAGGCATTTTGATTGGTTCCTGTCTTGGAATTTTAATAACTACTTCCAATTGCTTCATCCAACAAATCACAGCAACGAGGTTGTGTAAAAAAAAAAATCAAAATCACATGCATGTACATTCTCATTTACTAACGCACATCATGGACATCAAGAAATTTCAAGCTTATGTTAATGTAGTGCCACCATATTGGTTTTCATTTGTCTCGATCATCGGTTATCTCAACGTTTTTTGGCAAGCCCCTAGACTGGGTTCAACTGTAAATGACTTTGATTGGTCGGCCCTTCAACAAGATAAATGATAGTGATTGGTTGGCATGACGATAGATAAAAAGACAAAAGATGGATTCATCTGATGGGAAGTTTTTTTAATAAGTTTCCCAGCCTACATACCTGGAGCATGTAAATATCTTCACCAACAACAGCCCATTCGATATCCCGTGGCGATCCAAAGTATTTCTCAAGCTTAAAAAAAGTAAAAGAACAAGGATCAGAAAGAGCTTTAACAAGGTTGAAGTATACTTCAATTACTAACCTTAGATGGGCTTCTTAAAGAAATAATTGTAATGTCAGTAGAACGTTGAAGAAAAGGCTTCTTAAAGAACTAATTGTAATGTCAGTATAATGTTGAAGAAAAACAATTGTCATTAAATCAAATTAACACTGAACAAATTAACATATTATTCTATCTGTTGCAACATACCTCAAGACCTAATGCAGACAGAGAAAGAATTATTTTATCTGTTATGCAAACTTGGTCAGAGCACCCAGTCAAATGTTCCTCTGTGATGCCCCCACTTGCTAGATGATACAATTTATAGAAACAAGGTTAGCAAACTCTAAACCACTCGCTATTGCCTGCCACAAGCAAATCAGATGTTTTCATGAAGTGAATAGTTTAGGCACAAAGATTGTCAACACTGATTGGCTGGGAACTAAGAGGCTTTGTTGTTAGGCTTACTGTTACAGATGACATGGTTCCCGTTGATAGATGTGTCAGATAGTTGTTGTAAGGAATAACACATTGATTGGCAGCAACATTTGTTTTAGAATGCTATTAATGTAATTGTGTGTAAAGATTAGGTATGCATTGTGTTTTAGGAATTATGATTAGGAATTAGGAATACAGATTATGTAAAGACTGCTAATGTAATTGTGTGTAAAGTGATCTAGCAGGTTGTCTCCCTTCTTCATGACGTGCTCTGAGATTTATGAGTTTCAATTCCTTACAGGTAGTTGTCAATTTATGAAATTTTCATGTGATGGCCATACAAACATTTGCATTAATAAACATTCAAACTGCATATTGAATATAAAAATTAAAAAAAAATGGAATAAATATATGTGAGTACCTGTTTCGACAATCTGTATTTTCTTCTCCCCAGCTCGAACATTGCCTATCTTTAGCCTCTCCCCATCGTAGATGAATTCTGGGTCTCGGGTCACGCATATGGTGTCTGGGTCAGACCGACCTGATACAACGGACTCACCAAGTCCATAGTTGGCATTGATCACGACCTGGCTGTTACTTCCATTAATTGGGTCGGCAGTGAACATGACACCTGTCAAATACATGGCATTGATTGGGTAAAAACAATTAAATGATTGCTAACTAGCCATTGTGTAACAATTCAATGATTGCTAGCTAGCCATTGTGTAACAATCCAATGATTGCTAGCTAATGGAATTAGATCAAGAACAATCACAACAATCATCTCTTTGGCCTTTTGATCTTCAAGCTTGATTTTCGTTAATTGTTACATTTAAAATTGCATGCATTGTCACATTTTAATTTCCATACATTGTAACATTTCAAACTGTGTCTGAATAACATCTCATTACATTTCAATGTTCATTCAGAGATTGGCTTAGCAAATAACCAATAATAGAAGAGAAGTATACACAAATGAGAACCATAGATGTACAAGAACCATAGATGTACAACATAGAAGCACAACAAACAGATGTACAACAAACAAAGATGTACAAGAACTACACAACTTCTGAGTATTGGACATTGACAAGCTGTTTGACCCCACCCACAAGTATGCTGATTGGCTGGCCAGCTGTATGAAAAAGTCAGATAACAGAGAGCGAATCTTACCAGCAGCTTTGGCAGGCACCATCTGCTGTATGACCATGCCCACAAGTACGCTGATTGGCTGGCCAGTTGTATGACAAAGTCAGATAACAGAGAGGAAATCTTACCAGCAGCTTTGGCAGGCACCATTTGCTGTATGACCCCGCCTACAAGTAAGCTCATTGGCTGGCCAGCTGTATGACAAAGTCCCATAACAGAGAGCGAATCTTACCAGCAGCTTTGGCAGGCACCATTTGCTGTATGACCCCGCCTACAAGTACGCTGATTGGCCATCCAGCTGTATGATAAATTCACATAACATAGAGCGAATCTTACCAGCAGCTTTGGCAGGCACCATCTGCTGTATTGCTGTATGACCCCGCCCACAAGTAAGCTGATTGGCTGGCCAGCTGTATGACAAAGTCACATAACAGAGAGCGAATCTTACCAGCAGCTTTGGCAGGCACCATTTGCTGTATGACCCCGCCTACAAGTACGCTGATTGGCCATCCAGCTGTATGATAAATTCACATAACAGAGAGCGAATCTTACCAGCAGCTTTGGCAGGCACCATCTGCTGTATGACCACGCCCACAAGTACGCTGATTGGTTGGCCATGTTGTCGACGGTATTCTACGGCCTGGACTGTGTACACTGAACTCCAGCATTTGCTGACGGCTTTAAAGATCTGAAATATCAGCAAAGCAGCAGCTATAGAGCAACTACGAATCTATTAAAATTTGAGAATCCCTGCAAAGTGTCCCACTCTCAGCTGTCCAAAACGTAAGACATAAACATGTATTTTAGTAATCTACATGATGTATAAAGAGGAATATAACAGTTACATTTTTACATTAGTTCTTAACCCATTAACTGCTGTGATCCCCATTAAAAGTTATAATATGTATAAAAAAATTATATAATAACTTACAATAGTTTTTTTGCAGACAACGCTAAAGCTTAGTTCAACCTGTAGTGAATTATTCTTAGGGCACTTTGTTTTCTACATGTAGTAAATTATTCTTAGGCCACATTGTGTTCTACCTGTAGTGAATTATTCTTAGGGCACTTTTCTAAGCAGATTCTGGATTCATATTTGGAATCAGCACGTCAAAACACATACAAGCCATATGTTTTAAATTCGGTAGCCAAATTACTGTTGAACAGTGTCATCTACAATTTAATTTTCATTGTTGAGAATAGTGACTGAGATAAGAAAGATTTAATAAAAGTAAATATTTACATTGAATAATTTAATAGTTGCAAACTGAACTGATAATCTTATTTCAACATAAATATTTTTTTCTTAACTACCTGTGGCAGACCAACAACACCAAGAATTGTCTCCATCTGTCCAGCTGACGATGCCTCCGTCCCGTCTTCTCCTAAGGAGAGGGGAAGAGGAAAAATTATTTTATCTCCATTTTATACAAGAGAAGCTGAGGACTTTTCTTGGAAGTTTTGGAATAAGCAAGTGAATTGTTGGGAATTTCTAAATAATCTTAGACAATTTAAGAGGCTGTCACTGATGTAGTGCCCATGGGTGAGACTGTCACTGATGTAGTCCCCATGGGTGAGACTGTCACTGATGTAGTCCCCATGGGTGAGACTGTCACTGATGTAGTGCCCATGGGTGAGACTGTCACTGATGCATTTCCCATGGGTGAGACTGTCACTGATGTAGTTCCCATGGGTGAGACTGTCACTGATGTAGTCCCCATGGGTGAGACTGTCACTGATGTAGTCCCCATGGGTGAGACTGTCACTGATGTAGTCCCCATGGGTGAGACTGTCACTGATGTAGTGCCCATGGGTGAGACTGTCACTGATGCATTTCCCATGGGTGAGACTGTCACTGATGCAGTTCCCATTGGTGAGACTGTCACTGATGTAGTCCCCATGGGTGAGACTGTCACTGATGTAGTCCCCATGGGTGAGACTGTCACCGATGTAGTCCTCATGGGTGAGACTGTCACTGATGTAGTGCCCAGGGGTGAGACTGTCACTGATGTAGTCCCCATGGGTGAGATTGTCACTGATGTAGTGCCCAGGGGTGAGACTGTCACTGATGTAGTGTCTAGGTGTGAGACTGTCACTGACTTAGTCCCCACGGATGAGAATGTCACTTATGTAGCCTAGATGGTTGTAATTATCATTTATTCAATGATACTACATGCTTTTGAAATGCTACATTTACCTGCCGCGGATGACCTGACAGCATAGTGGATATGGTCATGGTCCTTGCCGAAGTATTCATTGAGAGACTTAACGATGGCATCCCTGACCTGGGAACACATCTCTGTTGAGTTGAAGAGGTCGACAGCTGTGCTGCACACAGGGGTCAAGTCAGCACCCTCAGTTCTGGAGCAAGGACGTACGAACACGTTATTGGATGTTGACTGAGTACATTTTTATACCCACGAAGTCATTCTGACATTTGATCTAGATCACCATAACTTTCCTATCAATGAATTCAACTATAACTAAGATCTGGGATCAAATTAAATTTGTTTGTTTGTTGTCTTTTATTAATTATTCTTACTTAAGTATACATTTTTTTGTTGCCATCTTTTGTTGATTATTTTTACTTAAATAGAAATTATTTTGTTAGTTATCTTTCGTTAATTATTCATATGTAAATACACATTTTTTATAAGTTTTACAATTTGTTTGAAGGAACAGCTATAAATATTTTCTTACACACAGGCAGAAGAGATTGCTTCAATGGCTGCCCTGATCTTAGAACTTTCCTTTGAAAAAAAAAAGGGGGGGGGGGGGGAGATTTGTGAGATGTTATATAAAAAAAAAAGGGGGGGGGGGGGGTGAATTGTTGGAAGTTTCATAACAAATATATTTATTTCATATTAATATTATATTTTGTTCACTATGAAATGTTCAATAAATATCCCAACAAAACATTCAATGTTTATTCCCCAACAAACAATAAATATCAAACTAAAGCATTCAATTATTTAAACTCTTTTAAAAAATGATATCAGGAGCATACCACATCCAAAAGACTACATACAATAGAGTAGATAAAAACAGTACACAGACCTGCAACTGCAGCTCAAAAGACTACATAGAATAGAGTAGATAGAAACACTACACAGACCTGAAACTGCAGCTCAAAAGACTACATAGAATAGAGTAGATAGAAACAGAACACAGACCTGCAACTGCAGCTCAAAAGACTACATAGAATAGAGTAGATAGAAACAGTACACAGACCTGCAACTGCAGCTCAAAAGACTACATAGAATAGAGTAGATAGAAACAGTACACAGACCTGAAACTGCAGCTCAAAAGACTACATAGAATAGAGTAGATAAAAACAGTACACAGACCTGCAACTGCAGCTCAAAAGACTACATAGAATAGAGTAGATAGAAACAGTACACAGACCTGCAACTGCAGCTCAAAAGACTTGAGTGTCAAACAAAATCCTTTGGGGACATGAGCATTGACCTGGATCAGGAATTTCAATTCATTAGTTTTATTTTAAACATCAGTTTTCTTAGATTATATTTTTTTAATCAACTTTTGTTAGGACCATATTGTTAACCCCAAATTGTTAATTTTGTTGCACCGGTTGACCCCAACGCTAGTGACGCAGACTGAGCATTAGATACAATTGGAGACTCGGCCAAAATGACAGGATGTGACCTAATGTGTCAATGGTCGCCCCAACATGCTGGGTGCATTTCTCTATTGCATAGGCCAAATGCAGGGTTGTTAGATAAAAATATTTAGTAAAATTGAATACAATTTTATTTACGAAGTGGCTATTCGTACCCAGGTACCAGAAGTGAGAGGTTGGAATTAAAAAACTATTTAAAATTTTATTGTTGGGTTTGTAAGACAAAATGAGGTATCAAATGAAAGAAAGGTAATTGAATGGACTATATGTTTGAAAACTTAATTCTTCAGTTTAACTAAAATTAGCTACCACAAATGACATCCGAATAGCTTGAGTCTAATGGTACCCGGGTGCCAATGGCGGCGCTGCATGTCTGGGTCCATTTTGACTCACAAACAAACACCAAGTGCACAATTACAGAGTGCACAAATAAACACACAGTGCACAAACCTTTGTTTCTAAGCTTGTTAATTGTGCCAGTTGAGAACCTTTCCCTCCAACCAAGGCAGAAGAGCTACATGCTGCGCTAGTGAAGGGTAGCGTGATTTTGTCACGATTCTGACTAACAACGGAGCTGGTGGGTTCCTCCACCATGTCACAAGCAGACGGTAAATCAGTCATGATAGGACCATTATGATTTCTGGAAATTAAAAAAATAAATTTAAAATAAAAATTAAAATTGATTGGCATTGACAAATTTTTAATTTAAACCGCATTTAAAAAAAAATGTTTTCACTTTTATTTTTTTTTTAAATTTCCAATTGCAACACTGGCTTTAAAACTTACTCAGTTCAAACATGGTAACTAGTTTTGTATTGAAAGTTGCACATCGGAAAGGCACAATGAATTCTTATGACACAAAATTATGCATAATTTACTTAGTTTTTGGTATGACAAGCTCATACACACACACTTGATGTTAATCACATTTTTTTTTGTTACAGTCCAAGTAGTTGTACAAATATTTACATAGGTCCACATTGTAAACCATGACATGCATAATAATGTACCTGTAGAAATATTCACTGATTCCTCTCCCTTTAATTGAGTTGACCTCAAAAGTTGTGAAGACTTCCATGACTTTACCTCCCCTGTCGTCATGGTGATACCAGACGGGAGTCGTGCCCTTGGTAGCTGTGACATTGTACCGCGCCCCACCTGAACCCATTCAACCAAAAAAATCTTTTTTAAATGTCATTCACTTTTTTGTTGTCAAGTCTTAAAAACAACTGTTGGACAAAATGTTTACTACAAGATGTCGTTAACAATAAATAACATGTCGTTAACAATAAATAACATGTCATTAACAATAAATAACATGTCATTAACATTAAAATACCACAAGATGTCATTAACATTGAAATACCACAAGATGTCATTAACATTAAAATACCACAAGATGTCATTAACATTAAAATACCACAAGATGTCATTAACAATAAATTACCCCAAGATGTCATCAACAATAAAATAACATGTCATTAACAATAAAATACAACAAGATGTCATTAACAATAAATTACCCCAAGATGTCATCAACAATAAAATAACATGTCATTAACAATAAAATACCACAAGATGTCATTAACAATAAAATACCCCAAGATGTCATCAACAATAAAATAACATGTCATTAACAATAAAATACCACAAGATGTCATTAACAATAAAATACCCAACAATGTCATTAACAATAATATACCCCAAGATGTCATCAACAAATAAAATAACATGTCATTAACAATAAAATACAAGATGCTATTAACAATAAAATACCACAAGATGTCATTAACAATAAAATACCACAAGATGTCATTGACAATAAAATACCACAAGATGTCATTAACAATAAAATAACCCAAAATGGATTTAACAACAAATAACCATAAATACGACAAGATGACATTGACTTTAAAATTGTGGTTTTGTTTTCTGTCTTTCACAGGATTAGGACCCAGTGACACATACTGTGGCCCAGTGAACAATGCTGTGACCCCATACCTTGATTCTGTGATCCATACTGTGACCCAGTTGACCAACCGGTGACCCAGTGACCCTAAATGTAACCCATATTGTGACCAAGTGACACACACATTGACCCAGTGACACATATGCAGCCCCAGGGACAAGTACTATGACCCAGTGACACATACTATCACCTACACTGTCCCCCCCAGATGTAGCATAAAACTGTCAGTATGTTACCTGCGGTAAATGAAAACGCCCAAGTGTCTGGCGGGTCCATGGTTTCCTCCCCTATCTCCCAGAGCTTCAGGGTGACGTCAGTGACAGACATGATGTCCCCATTGGCAAATGAGATGTATCCTATTTTCACACTGGGAATGACAACATGGCAAATGAGATATATCCTATTTTCACACTGGGAATGACAATGTGGTAAATGAGATGCCTCCTATTTTCACACTGGGAATGACAACAATGAAACGAAAGGTGTACCCTTTAGTTATGTTGGGGTATAAATACTAGTTTACTTTTTATGAAACATTTGTTCCGACTCAAATGAGATTGTTTATCTTGATCAAATAATCCACTTAATATTTTATTGAAATAGATACTTTTGCTATTTTTATGTTTATGGAAAAATGATATGATTTTCCACTATTTTGTAACTGGTTAAAGTGGTTTTTATGTGTACATACAGTACATTTTGTACCTGGTTCAAGTGGGTTTTATGTGTACCTTTGGTACATTTTGTACCTGGTTCAAGTGGTTTTATGTGTACATCCAGTATGTTTTGTACCTGGTTTAAGTGATTTTTATGTGTACATCCTATATGTCTTGTACCTAATTCAAGTAGTTTTCATGTGTACATCCTATATGTCTTGTACCTAATTCAAGTAGTTTTCATGTGTACATCCTATATGTCTTGTACCTATTTCAAGTAGTTTTCATGTGTACATCCTATATGTCTTGTACCTAATTCAAGTAGTTTTCATGTGTACATCCTATATGTCTTGTACCTATTTCAAGTAGTTTTCATGTGTACATCCTATATGTCTTGTACCTAATTCAAGTAGTTTTCATGTGTAAATAGGGTCTACTGAACAAGTTTTGTACCTGGTTCAATTGGTTTTATATGTGTACATCATGAACGTGTTTTGCACCTGGTCTTTCTATGATTATTAAAACAAACATTGCACTAATTCAAAATAGTGTCGTCTATAAGGCTCGTCATTTAATGGCATAAATCTATAATTAGAACATCCCGGCATACAGTCTAGCAAATCACATTCAGTTATTGATAAAACATCCTGGTATTCCATTTGGCCAATCTCTCAACAGCTGTTTGGTACTTCTACGCTAATGTAAACTAGCTTAGTGGGTTAGACTAAGCTAGACGAACATGTGTTTACAGCTATACTTTACAAAAGATTTTACAAAGAAATTGTTACTGCTTCATATATTGTGGAAATACATTGCTGGCAACCATATTTTATGAAAACATTGCCTAAAAATAGAAACATTTCTTAATGTGATGTGATGTCATGTGATGTTTTGTGGTCTTAGAAATGACAAACCCTACTGGAAGATTATTTTACCTTTTTTTAAAAAACTATAATATGGAATGAAGCTTTAAACCCATTGGTCCATTTAAAATGACCTTTGTCAGTGATGGTTCTCAAAATAGACAGAGCAGTGCATATAACTGTGTGGCTTCGTAAACAAAGTTAAACACTTTGAGTATAGCAAATTTTGTGATTTTATAACTTACTGGCTCATGAGGTCAGGCTGTGTTTTTATAAATTAATGAGTCATGAGGTCAGGCTGTGTTTTTATAACTAACTGGGTCATGAGGTCAGGCTGTGTTTTTATAACTTACTGGGTCATGAGGTCAGGCTGTGTTTTTATAACTTACTGGGTGATGAGGTCAGGGTGTGTTTTTATAAAATAATGGGTCATGAGGTCAGGCTGTGTTTTTAGAACTTACTGGGTCATGAGGTCAGGCTGTGTTTTTATAACTTACTGGGTCATGAGGTCAGCTGTGTTTTTATAACTTACTGGGTCATGAGGTCAGCTGTGTTTTTATAACTTACTGGGTCATGCGGTCAGGCTGTGTTTTTATAACTTACTGGGTGATGAGGTCAGGCTGTGTTTTTATAACTTACTGGGTCATGAGGTCAGGCTGTGAGACAATACCAACTTGTATGGAGATCCCATTCTAAGAAAATAAATAGGTATTTTTTTGTAATGATGAGAGATAATGTCTGCTTATACAGAGTAATGTCTGTTAAAATAGATTAATGTATACCAACTTTATATACAATAATAACTAGGTACCACAGAATTCCACTCAAATGCTAATAATTAGTCTAAATAATTGACCCAAAAGCCAGGATTAATGTTTGAAATCTTCCACAGCTTTCTATGAAAGAAAAATCTGAATAACTTTGAACCATAAATTACATGTATTTAAACTTTCTGGCATAAAATACATGTATTTAAACTTTGTAAAATAAAATGTAATATAAAATGCAAGTATTTAAACTTTGTGCTATAAAATGCAAGTATTTAAACTTTGTGCTATAAAATGCAAGTATTTAAACTTTGTGCTATAAAATGCAAATATTTAAACTTTGTGCTATAAAATGCAAATATTTAAACTTTGTGCTATAAAATGCAAGTATTTAAACTTTGTGCTATAGAATGCATGTATTAAGGAAGACATTTAATAAAAAATGTCTTATGAATCCTTAACATAATAATCTGTATTTTGTTATTTCCTAATCACAATAAAACATGTATAGATAAATGTTATTGAATGGCGACTAAGTCCAAACACTCTATTTAAAGAATTTACAGAAGCAATAGAAACTAACTGAGCTCATGACCTAATGAGCTATTAAATAACCTATGGATCAATTACATGATCAATTTAAGCAATTTAACTATCCATGGATTAATTATATGAACTTTTTTTTGCTGGCATCCGTCCGTCACAATGTGACGAAGGAGTGGGCTTCGTACGACGAAATCCACATAGCCTGGGATTATTATACTTGAAGGATTATAAGCTGGTTCCCAACAGCAAATCGCCTCTCTCCACGCCGCTGGGTAACCCAAGGGAACATCATTGGATGATACAGCTTGGCACCAGTGACGTCGCAGGAGTTGTCGGAATGTTTCATTGTATCAATGTTATCCGCCTTTCGGGACTCCATCTCCGGGTTTGATTTCAGAGTTTCCTTCTCTTAGATGAGTTGCCGTCCAAGGTTAACGAGTCCCATCTACCCGGGGTGCTGGTGGTGTTTTTGCTCTAGCTGGAATTGAACTCCAGACCACCAACTTGAGATTTGCTCAGTTTAGACCAATCGGCCACCCAGCACCCATAATTATATGAACTACTGACCAATTAAATGACCTACTGATCAATTAAATGACCTACCTACATGCTAAATGACCCTTAAAACAATTAAATAACCTTCTGCTCAATTAAATGACCTACTGACCAATTAAATGACCTACTGACCAATTAAATGACCTACTGACCAATTAAATGACCTACTGACCAATTAAATGACCTACTGACCAATTAAATGACCTACTAACCAATGAAAGAACCCAGTATTCTATTATATGACCTACTGACAACTAATTACCTACAGACTAATTAATTAGCTGCTGAACAATTATATAAAATAATTTTTTGCTGGCCTCCATCCGTCACAATGTGACGATGGAGTGGGCTTCGAGGATGAAATCCACATGGCCTGGGATTATTCTTAAGGATTATAAGCTGGTTCCCAACAGCAAATCGCCTCTCTCCACGCCGCTGGGTAACCCAAGGGAACATCATTGGATGATACAGCTTGGCACCAGTGACGTCGCAGGAGTTGTCGGAATGTTTCAATGTATCAATGTTATCCGCCTTTCGGGACTCCATCTCTGGGTTTGATTTCAGAGTTTCCATCTCTTAGATGAGTTGCCATCCAAGGTTAACGAGTCTCATCCACCCGGGGGTGCTGGTGGTGTTTTTGCTTGACTGGGCTCTGGCTGGAATTGATCTCCAGACCACCAACTTGAGATATGCTCATTTTAGTCCACCCAGCATCCGATAAACTAATTACCAAGTCAATAACCTACAGACCAATAAAATGAGAATGGACCTTCCTCTACTCATGACCTACTGACCCATGACCTACTGACCCATGACCTACTGACCCATGACCTACCTCTAAATGAATAAATTGAATAATGTAACGATGGAAACTCCGCCAGTCTCGTCTTCCTGGTGGATAAACATGTCAAAATCATTGGTAATAATAGCTCTAGATGGTAGCACAAGTGAGTCAGCTGTGTAGCCCTAGATGGTAGCACAAGTTAGTCAGATGTGTTGCCCTAGATGGTAGCACAAGTGAGTCAAATGTGTAGCTTTAGACGGTAGCACAAGTGAGTCAGCTGTGTAGCCTTAGATGGTAGCACAAGTTAGTCAGATGTGTTGCCCTAGATGGTAGCACAAGTGAGTCAGATATGTTAAATGTAAAATAAAATAATACATAAACGTAATAAAAAGATGATCATTTTAAAATGACATATTCCCAGACTTCTGTGACAAGTTACTTTTAAATGTTAATGGCATTTAAATTTTGACAAGTTTAAATTGTTCTTCTAGTAACCTGTCTATATATCTGTCAATCATTATAGTACATGCTATCCCAAAAGTTATCTATGCTATCCAAAAAGGTAACTATGTTATCCAAAAAGGTAGCTATCTATGCTATTCAAAAAGTTAGCTATGCGATCCAAAAAGCTATCTATTATATCCAAAATGTTATCTATGTTATCCAAAAAGTTATCTACGCTATCCAAAAAGTTATCTAAGCTATCCTGACGCACATAGGAATAAAGAACTAAAGTTATGTTTCATGTAAAAAAGATGATTAATTAATTAATTTATTACTAGGGTTACATGGATTAATCCGCTGTTGATGGATTAATCATCTATTTATGGATTAATGGGCTGTTTATCTGTAATATGCAATTCAATCTGTAATCAGCTTTTTGGGATCAGTATTGGCTTGCACATTGAAATCACTGCATGCACATTGAAATCACTGCATGCACATTGAAATCACTGTGTGCACATTCAAATCACTGCTTGCACATTGAAATCACTGCATGCACATTGAAATCATTGCGTGCACATTCAAATCACTGCTTGCACATTGAAATCACTGCGTGAACATTGAAATCACTGTGTGCACATTCAAATCACTGCTTGCACATTGAAATCACTGCATGCACATTGAAATCACTGCGTGCACATTCAAATCACTGCTTGCACATTGAAATCACTGTCTGCACATTGAAATGACAGCATGCACATTCAAACCACTGCTTGCACATTGAAATCACTGTCTGCACATTGAAATGACAGCATGCACATACAAACCACTGCTTGCACATTGAAATCACTGTCTGCACATTGAAATGACAGCATGCACATTGAAACCATTGTCTGCACATTGAAATGACAGCATGCACATTCAAACCACTGCTTGCACATTGAAATCACTGTCTACACATTGAAATGACAGCATGCACATTCAAACCAATGCTTGCACATTGAAATCACTGCCTGCACATTGAAATGACAGCATGCACATTCAAACCACTGCTTGCACATTGAAATCACTGTCTGCACATTCAAACCACTGCTTGCATATTGAAATCACTGCCTGCACATTGAAATGACAGCATGCACATTCAAACCACTGCTTGCACATTGAAATCACTGTCTGCACATTGAAATGACAGCGTGCACATTCAAACCACTGCTTGCACATTGAAATCACTGCCTGCACATTGAAATGACAGCGTGCACATTCAAACCACTGCTTGCACATTGAAATCACTGTCTGCACATTGAAATCACTGTCTGCACATTGAAATGACAGCGTGCACATTCAAACCACTGCTTGCACATTGAAATCACTGCCTGCACATTGAAATGACAGCGTGCACATTCAAACCACGGCTTGCACATTGAAATCACTGCATGCACATTCAAACCACTGTGTGCACATTGAAATGACAGCGTGCACATTCAAACCACGGCTTGCACATTGAAATCACTGCATGCACATTCAAACCACTGTGTGCACATTCAAACCACTGCGTGCACATTCAAACCACTGCCTGCACATTCAAACCACTGCGTGCACATTCAAACCACTGCGTGCACATTCAAACCACTGCGTGCACATTCAAACCACTGCGTGCACATTCAAACCACTGCGTGCACATTCAAACGACTGCCTGTTCATTGAAATTATTACCAAAGCTATGATCAAGCGCTAATAAAAAATAAAATTATTACCAAAGGTATGATCCCGCACACATTGGAGGGTCAGAAGTTGCTCTTCTTGTCCCTCAACATTCAGACGTCCCCTCAATTCTCCCCACTGTTCGTAATGACTCTGATGATTGCTAGTGAAAAATATTTGAATGGACTTCTCTTATATTAACAATTATTGTTCAAATAAATTTATTTAATTAAATTTTATAAACTAATAATTTGATTAAATTTAAATAACAAAAATAGTAACAGATATTTGAAAAGTGAATGACCTACAAATAAAACTTTCAGGTGGAGACCGACTGAATTTCAGCTTTGGCTTTGGTACCGAAAGTAGCCATTTGACCACTTTTGGCCTAGTTTTGGTTTCGGCCAAAATTAAAAAGTTAACTTTTGGTTTAATTTCCATTTCAGCCAAAGTGATAGAGACTTTTGGCCATCTGGATGAAATTAACTGAGGTTTTAGGTCATCTACCATAAGTCAGACTGTCTGTCTGCCGGCAATGCGATATTCATTATTGCTCAACGTCTTGCTGTCATCATATGTTATATGATCAATAATCAGCGAAAACTGCTTACAGCTGTTCTATGACTTACTTGTCACATATTTCCGAAAAATTAAATTTCAATTACGCCCAGGCAAATGTAAACAGTTTTGTGGAAGAAAAACTAGTGGAATGGTCATGTTTATATTATTTTTGTTTTAATTTTTTCTAAAATAAAAATTTGAAACCCTAGGTTTATTTAATTCCTTCATTTGTGATATTCATTTTGATTTATCATTATCATGCCCATCAATATTGTCATAAGCAAAGGTGAATAATATTGAATAATCGTAGGATTTGGTAATATTCCATTATTATTTAAATTTTTTTAATTCATTCATTTCTTGAAATTCATCATAATCATGCTCATAAACATTGTTATTATCGAAATAACATGCGTGTGCATGTATCACAGATTCGTATTATAATTATGTAGTAGGCCTACTGCAAACCTGTTTACTTATATGATTTTGGCGACAATTTACATGTCTTTTGCGATTCTCCGCCAAGACCCGTCAGAACACCAATTTTAAGAGATCCAGTTAAAAAGAAATCCCCCACCAATGGGGGTGAGGGAGGTTGGTTGCCGAACGAAATAATTACGTCACCAGCACAGAAAGACTAGTGTGTTAGTATTAGGCTAAATATTAATAGAGGGATATCTTGCCAGCTAATGATGAAAACACAAAGCATTAGTATGACGATAACCAACAAAAATTATGATGATATTTTTATAGCCTTAACAAATGATATTTAGGTGACTATTGACTCTATTAGAGCAAAAATAGTTATTGTAGGTATTATTAGGTATATAAGACACACACTAAAACATATGGTGAACGATCTTTCTCTTTCTGTGCCCCCAAACAATGGAATTCTTTGCTACTAAACATACGCAATATACCAACCACACAGGCTTTCAAAACTGCACTCAAAACATATCTTTTTAAATTATACTACCCTGACTGATTCCCCTCCTCTGACCGATAAACTATCTTGCTGGCTGCCGTCCATGGTTTGCCTTGTAAAAGTTATGAGGTGGGGTGGGTGAATATACATTGCTGTTCTTTATTTCATAAATGTATTTTATTTTAATGTCATGATTATGTCTATTTTGATAAAATTTTTATGTACAGCGCGGTGAGCCCAGCCCAAGGCTGTGGTACCCCGCTATATAAGACGTCTTATTATTATTATTATTATTATTATGTTCTAGGTTGTAAATATTGTATCAAAGCAAAGGGCACTCAAGGGTCTATTTTGCATGAATTTCGCCATGATCCCTCCCCTCTTGGGTCAAAAAACATTTTAAAGAAATTTAAATTACGTTTAAATTAAAATTGTAAATGCCCAAGTATTTATTAGATGTTTATTTATTAATATTCATAATGATCTTATTTTTTATAAAAAGAATATAAATATTGATACTTTTACCCCATCAATGTAAGTAGAATGTATGCATGAACGAATTTTAAAATATATAAATATTTTGGTTTTGGTTTCGGTTTTGCCGAAAGTCACTTTAAGCTTTTGGTTTCGGCTTCAGACAAAATCAGAGAATCACTTTCAGCCGTTCTCTACTTTCAGGTAACGAAATAGCTATAGATTAAGCAGCACATAATTCGTTTCAGAATTTCAAATTTCTAACATACATTTGGACAAAAATATAAAATAAAAATTTTAATTTCAAAATACTATTTTTCACAGACTCCTTTCATTATGTGTTACATAAAATTTTTACCATTTGTAACAAATTAACTTAATGGTATTAATCAATATCAATCAATAATAAAAATATTTACTCTTTAAGTCTCTGGAAGAAGTCCTTGTTCCAGTTTTCCCAAGCAATGCTGTCAGCAAGGAGGGAAGGAGCCATGTCGGTGTCAAAATTAAAGGGCTGAGAAAAAGCGCTCCATCTAGAACAACAACATGACTGTTCATTAAATCAATGAGACGGAAAACTTAAACTTTGAAATCTGAAATGTTTCAGATAATATATAACTAACTCATGCTAATGAAATAGACTTTACTTACATGAAAGAGAAGCTCGTTTCAAGATATTGCTGGGGCTTATTCACAACATCATTGCACAGTCCTTTTCTGCAAGTAAAATTTTATCTTTTTAACACATGATTTGGACTGATAGTAGGAATATTTGTTAACAGTAAATAGAGGTGTCATTTCAGGTTTTTTCAGGGGGTGGGGGTGGGAACCAAAACTTGGTCGGCTTGTTAAGTTGTTTATTACTGGAGGCGCCACAGTACATAGCAATTTAATTAAAACCTGCAAATTCAAGAGGGAGGGGAGAAAAATGCCCCACCCTGCTCTACTCAAATGAAGTCCCAGATTGTGAAATAATTGTGAACCAAGTGCTTCAATTCAATATAACATACTACAAGCTTACCTTTATTTTATGATGGTGTAAAGAATAATGATAACTTCTTTATCTCATACAATAAGCTACAGTTCTTTAACTACTATCCTACTTATGATATACTACATAAATTCTGTTAATTATATAAGTAAAAAACTTGATTAACATTGCTTAAGAGATTTTAATTTTAATTTTGTTTCCATACCTTAGTTTTCCACTATAAGTCAATTTCCATCTTTTCATTGGTTCTAGAATTTCAAAGGTGAGCCCACCTGCCTGGTAGGAATTGCCATCTGTATGATACACATCTGTGTCAGGATGTCTGGGGAACTGAAGGCAACCGATTCCAGGGATCTCTAAAAATAGCCATACTTCTGCCTGGCGGTGTTTTCTCCTTGCAATGCGGCAAACTAAGTTCACCCCATCCTGGTTTGTGGCACCAAAGTAACAGCAATCTATAGCCTGTGAGATGGACACAATAAAAACAACAATCTATAGCCTGTGAGATGGACACAATAAAAACAACAATCTATAGCCTGAGAGATGGGCACAATATAACAGCAATCTATAGCCTGAGAGATGGACACAATATAACAGCAATCTTTAGCCTGAGAGATGGACACAATATAACAGCAATCTTTAGCTTGAGAGATGGACACAATATAACAGCAATCTATAGCCTGAGAGATGGACACAATATAACAGCAATCTTAAACTTGAGAGATGGACACAATATAACAGCAATCTATAGCCTGAGAGATGGACACAATATAACAGCAATCTATAGCCTGAGAGATGGACACAATATAACAGCAATCTATAGCCTGAGAGATGGACACAATATAACAGCAATCTATAGCCTGAGAGATGGACACAATATAACAGCAATCTATAGCCTGTGAGATGGACACAATATAACAGCAATCTATAGCCTGAGAGATGGACACAATATAACAGCAATCTATAGCCTGTGAGATGGACACAATATAACAGCAATCTATAGCCTGAGAGATGGACACAATATAACAACAATCTATAGCCTGAGAGATGGACACAATATAACAGCAATCTATAGCCTGTGAGATGGACACAATATAACAGCAATCTATAGCCTGAGAGATGGACACAATATAACAGCAATCTATAGCCTGAGAGATGGACACAATATAACAGCAATCTATAGCCTGAGAGATGGACACAATATAACAACAATCTATAGCCTGAGAGATGGACACAATATAACAACAATCTATAGCCTGTGAGATGGACACAATATAAAAACAATCTATAGCCTGAGAGATGGACACAATATAACAACAATCTATAGCCTGAGAGATGGACACAATATAACAGCAATCTTTAGCTTGAGAGATGGACACAATATAACAGCAATCTATAGCCTGTGAGATGGACACAATATAAAAACAATCTATAGCCTGAGAGATGGACACAATATAACAACAATCTTTAGCCTGAGAGATGGACACAATATAACAGCAATCTTTAACTTGAAAGATGGACACAATATAACAGCAATCTATAGCCTGAGAGATGGACACAATATAACAGCAATCTATAGCCTGAGAGATGGACACAATATAAAAACAATCTATAGCCTGAGAGATGGACACAATATAACAGCAATCTATAGCCTGAGAGATGGACACAATATAACAGCAATCTATAGCCTGAGAGATGGACACAATATAACAGCAATCTATAGCCTGAGAGATGGACACAATATAACAGCAATCTATAGCCTGAGAGATGGACACAATATAACAGCAATCTATAGCCTGAGAGATGGACACAATATAACAGCAATCTATAGCCTGAGAGATGGACACAATATAACAGCAATCTATAGCCTGAGAGATGGACACAATATAACAGCAATCTATAGCCTGAGAGATGGACACAATATAACAGCAATCTATAGCCTGAGAGATGGACACAATATAACAGCAATCTATAGCCTGAGAGATGGACACAATATAACAGCAATCTATAGCCTGAGAGATGGACACAATATAACAGCAATCTATAGCCTGAGAGATGGACACAATATAACAGCAATCTATAGCCTGAGAGATGGACACAATATAACAGCAATCTATAGCCTGAGAGATGGACACAATATAACAGCAATCTATAGCCTGAGAGATGGACACAATATAACAGCAATCTATAGCCTGAGAGATGGACACAATATAACAGCAATCTATAGCCTGAGAGATGGACACAATATAACAGCAATCTATAGCCTGAGAGATGGACACAATATAACAGCAATCTATAGCCTGAGAGATGGACACAATATAACAGCAATCTATAGCCTGAGAGATGGACACAATATAACAGCAATCTATAGCCTGAGAGATGGACACAATATAACAGCAATCTATAGCCTGAGAGATGGACACAATATAACAGCAATCTATAGCCTGAGAGATGGACACAATATAACAGCAATCTATAGCCTGAGAGATGGACACAATATAACAGCAATCTATAGCCTGAGAGATGGACACAATATAACAGCAATCTATAGCCTGAGAGATGGACACAATATAACAGCAATCTATAGCCTGAGAGATGGACACAATATAACAGCAATCTATAGCCTGAGAGATGGACACAATATAACAGCAATCTATAGCCTGAGAGATGGACACAATATAACAGCAATCTATAGCCTGAGAGATGGACACAATATAACAGCAATCTATAGCCTGAGAGATGGACACAATATAACAGCAATCTATAGCCTGAGAGATGGACACAATATAACAGCAATCTATAGCCTGTGAGATGGACACAATATAAAAACAATCTATAGCCTGACAGATGGACACAATATAACAAAAATCTATAGCCTGAGAGATGGACACAATATAACAGCAATCTTTAACTTGAAAGATGGACACAATATAACAACAATCTATAGCCTGAGAGATGGACACAATATAACAGCAATCTATAGCCTGAGAGATGGACACAATATAACAGCAATCTTTAGCATGAGAGATGGACACAATATAACAACAATCTATAGCCTGAGAGATGGACACAATATAACAACAATCTATAGCCTGTGAGATGGACACAATATAACAGCAATCTATAGCCTGAGAGATGGACACAATATAACAACAATCTATAGCCTGAGAGATGGACACAATATAACAGCAATCTATAGCCTGAGAGATGGACACAATATAACAACAATCTATAGCCTGAGAGATGGACACAATATAACAGCAATCTATAGCCTGAGAGATGGACACAATATAACAACAATCTATAGCCTGAGAGATGGACACAATATAACAACAATCTATAGCCTGAGAGATGGACACAATATAACAACAATCTATAGCCTGAGAGATGGACACAATATAACAACAATCTATAGCCTGAGAGATGGACACAATATAACAACAATCTATAGCCTGAGAGATGGACACAATATAACAACAATCTATAGCCTGAGAGATGGACACAATATAACAACAATCTATAGCCTGAGAGATGGACACAATATAACAACAATCTATAGCCTGAGAGATGGACACAATATAACAACAATCTATAGCCTGAGAGATGGACACAATATAACAACAATCTATAGCCTGAGAGATGGACACAATATAACAACAATCTATAGCCTGAGAGATGGACACAATATAACAACAATCTATAGCCTGAGAGATGGACACAATATAACAACAATCTATAGCCTGAGAGATGGACACAATATAACAACAATCTATAGCCTGAGAGATGGACACAATATAACAACAATCTATAGCCTGAGAGATGGACACAATATAACAACAATCTATAGCCTGAGAGATGGACACAATATAACAACAATCTATAGCCTGAGAGATGGACACAATATAACAACAATCTATAGCCTGAGAGATGGACACAATATAACAACAATCTATAGCCTGAGAGATGGACACAATATAACAACAATCTATAGCCTGAGAGATGGACACAATATAACAACAATCTATAGCCTGAGAGATGGACACAATATAACAACAATCTATAGCCTGAGAGATGGACACAATATAACAACAATCTATAGCCTGAGAGATGGACACAATATAACAACAATCTATAGCCTGAGAGATGGACACAATATAACAACAATCTATAGCCTGAGAGATGGACACAATATAACAACAATCTATAGCCTGAGAGATGGACACAATATAAAAACAATCTATAGCCTGTGAGATGGACACAATATAACAACAATCTATAGCCTGAGAGATGGACACAATATAACAACAATCTATAGCCTGAGAGATGGACACAATATAAAAACAATCTATAGCCTGAAAGATGGACACAATATAACAAAAATCTATAGCCTGAGAGATGGACACAATATAACAACAATCTATAGCCTGAGAGATGGACACAATATAACAAAAATCTATAGCCTGAAAGATAGACACAATATAACAACAATCTATTGCCTGAGAGATGGACACAATATAACAACAATCCTGAAAGATGGACACATAAATACATCAATTTTCCAACTTTTGGATAACAAAGATAATTTTTAGAAAGCATAGATACTTTTAATAAAAATTGAAATGTTAAAAGTCATATAAATGTACAATTTTGAAGTAAATATAAAGGATTAAGTGCAAAATGACTAATTTTTTGTAGGCACAATAGTTTTAAAACTAATTAAGTTAAACATCGACATGTATTAATACATCTTTAATTATGTGAATTATTTAGCAATGAAAATAACAACAATTAAGTTTGATTAAAATTCATAAATAGACAAACAAAAGAACTTACAAATTCATTTTCAGATAATGTTTGGGGTCTTTCCATTTCCTTATAACTATTCCCTTTTCCGTATCCCTTTCTACCATTTACTTTCATGGGACAAGTTTCTGCAGAAAAGCTGTCAAAATTGTCCTTCTTTCCTTGTTTGGCAGATCGTATTCGAAACATGATGCAGAATATAATTCTTTTCAGCCAGTACCACTGACCTAAAGTATAAATGGCAAAAAATCTTTTTACCAATAAGAGTGTCAGGAATTTAAATTCTGAAGATAGATCAAGTGGATAAAAAAATGACAAAGTTCTTATGCCAGTTTTTTTATGGCATGTCCTCTAAATGCTAAGAATGAAAAGAAGAAAATTGTGCTTCAATATCCAGCATCATTTGATAATAACGTATCATTTTATTATGTGCATGCTTTACCTGGCAACTTGTAAACACCCGCTTTAATTTCTGACCCTCTTTGTCGAGATATGTAAGCAATGGCTAGAACAACAATTCCTGCACAGATGGCTAGAGAAATCATGGCTGCTGCTTTGTTGAAAATTTTGTACTGTAAATATAAAAGCAGAAACAAATATTAAAAAGAACAACACAGAAAAACCTTTAAAAAAAATTTTGGCCAATCCGTTTACACTTGGAAATGTTTGTGATTTCGTGTTATTTTTCAATGTTTGTACAGATGATATTGGCAGATACATAGATATGATAAAGGAAGATACATATATATGATAAAGTCAGATACATATACGCTAGAGATAAGTTAGGCCGTTACACATATATGCAAATTTTAAAAAAATTTATGTAGCAGGGGTGACTAGTTAAGATGATCTACGAGACCTTCCATGTGTGACCAGTAAAATATCATCCGAAAAAGGATCTTTAATGAATGCCCCTAATGAGTGAATGGGCACATAGATAATGTCACGTCTCTGAGGATTGAAAGGGCCCATTGATTAATTAATGTTAAACATCTGTGACAATGTGTGATAAATATATATTTAAAAAAAAAAATTAAGTTTAATTTTCTACCAGTCAATCTTAGTATAAATACATAGCGTATCATTCTTTCACAAATTGAGTGCACTTTAAAAATATCCACACCATTGGCTCAAGCAGTTAACTCTTAGTGTCCATAGGTCAAATCCACGTATTGACACAGTAATTTTGCTGACTCTAGGTGACCACAGACAATATTTCTTAGCTTTTCTAGTAAAATTGCGATAAAAAATAAATTACTTGCACGTTTGAAAAATGTAAGCACTGGAAGAGGATGTGGAAATATTGATTTGGACAAAATACTGAAATATTTAAATAAAATCCCAAAATTAAAGAGTCACTATGAAACACAATATAGACTGGCTCGCATCAAAACATGACCGGCGGAAAGCCAGTAGACTGGCGCGTCAGACTTTAAGAGTTAAGGGCATAGCCAGGTTTGATATTATAAAAGCCATTGAAAACTTATTGACATGCATATCTTATTGAATTCTAAACACTATAAAAAATAACTAACTAAAAAGGGCTCTCTAGATCTATGTCTTTTATCAGCAAATGGCGGACTTGGCAAAGGCCCTAAAGAATAGGCTTCCCTAAAGTTGAGACTTTGGTAGATTTTTGCCTAAGCTTTCCTACCTACACAGAGTTTAGAATTTAAGTGTTTTTATTTAGTCAAATTCAAACTTCCTTGGCCTTGGCTTTAAATTATTAAAAAAATGTCACCCGGATAATTCATGAAAACTTTTTTTAGCCTAAATAAGGCTTAGTAGGCACAAAATTAAACTGATATTAAGCTATTGACATTACATTTTTTTGTTATCTAATTAATGTTCACAACTATTTCTTATCTTAAGGGTATGAGCAAGCCTAAGCCTAGTCGTTTAGCCATTTTGATAGCCTGTAGTCAATACTCAATAACTCAATAGTAGGGTAACAACCCTTCTAAGTAGTTGAATAGTACTTGTAATTCAGTACATAATAATCTTAATCTAAATAACTTTATACTGAATACTGTCTTAGATCATTGTTTCTCAATGGATGGTGCACCTACTGAATGGTTACTGATCATCTGTAAATTTATGAACAGTCTTTTCTAAATAGTCTGTAAAAATTGAAAATGACTTTTTCTTAAAGGTCCAAAAAGAAATTAAGGATTTACATTTTTAAAAAAGAGACATTATCTTAAAGGCTTTTGAAAAAAAAAAAACAAATTGGTGGAACTAGAATCATTAGAATTAGTGATTTCTCCTTGCTTGCTTTTCACTTGTATTATTGAAAGCAGGATAAATAAAACACTGATGGGAATGCAATACAATAAATTTTCTAAACATGATGTATATATTATAAATAGTACTTTTGACATAAATAAGACATACAATTATATAGGGCCTACTTGATTGAGACAAAATCATACACCACAGACATTTTTTCCTCCATAGTTTTGACAAATGTAGGCCTTAAATTTAAAATGTATCTGTACCAAAATATGTTTGTTGGTAAAAATTATGAATATTTAAAGCAGAGATTCCCAAAGTGGTCCATATAAATCCCCAGAGGTCGGCGACAACTTGCAAGGGGTCCATGTCAGCGAAAAAAAAAATTAATATTAGCAGGGGGGTCTACCCAAAACCGAAAAAACATGGCATGTGGTCTACAAGACAAAAAAGTTTGGGTACCTCTGATTTAAAATGTTAGTCAGTAATTTCGATTTAATTTAATTGGCAATCTAAATAAAGGCAATCCTTTATTTTAAGGTGGTTAACTATTTATGGTTAAAAAATTTAAAACTTCTTATTTACCTGACGGAGCTACATTAAAAGTATTTTTATGTAAAATATATTTATATATATATGTTAATGATTAACATTTAATATTAAAAAATTGTTTTTGACATTTTTTTAAAATTTCAATAAAAATTAAAAAGCTATGTGAAGGTGTTTTTGCTATGCTTATACTTATATTAATAATATATTGATTATAAATTTAAAAATATTAATTATATTTGAAATTATTAATAAGGAATGCTTTAATTAAGTATCAAGGTATTAGTCATTAGTATTGTTATTACTTATATAAACCATTAAACTATAATTATAATATAGGCCTAAACAATACTTATTTATTGCATTGTTCAAAATAAATTAAATAATTTTTAATATTAGGCCTATTATAATCTATAATATTATAACTTAAGATTAAAACCTTGTTTTGATAAATATTAAATTAATTAAATATATTAATTACTATTATAACACTATCTGAACTATCACTCACTAACAACACACTACAAGTACTAGCTTTCTCTAAAAATGTGACAAAATATTATTAATATAATATAAATTATATTATAATAATATTATGAACTGCATGCAGTTGCACTTTTAATTAAGAAATATTCACTGACATAGTTGACTTAGTTCTACTTGCATATTTGAATAGAAACAATAATATTAATACCATGGATAAGGTTGGCTCACACTTAAATTAATACAAACTTACGTTAGGCCCAATAAATAAATATTTCTATGTTTTGTTTTAATTGTGATCCGCCTACTAGTTTAATCTAACTTTAAGTCTTCGAGTACTAAGAACTAAGAGGCGATCGAAATATTTTCAAAAGAAGGTCAAAGGTTACAGATTATAGACGAATGTAGTGTATGTCTGATAATGAGTGTTGCCATCCTATTATTATATTATTATTATCAGCCAGAACCAACTTTATGTTTTTTTCCAAAATATATTAGGCCTATATTATTAATTAAAAAATGTTCGTTAAAATTACTAATTTCTGTTAACCTTGATAAGACTAATTTATACGATAATTTTAGCTATAGATTTTTTTTAAGGAATGGGGGACGGGGGGATGCTTTACTTTATTTATTTTGGTTAAATTTAATTTTAATGATTTAAATTATTTAATGAAGATAATAATACTAAGAATAAGATACCAATATATGAAAATCCTTTAAAGTTACAGATATTTAAAATGGTACACATTTAAATAAAAATATTTTAAGGCATGTTTACAGAATTTTTAGAATTTAGTTTTTTGTTTATTATTTTTTTGCCTTTTAAAAAAAAAAAAAAAATTCAGGGGCGTAAAAAGGGTTCTGGCTGTGGCTATGCCTATTAGGCCTATAGAAATATAACAATTATTATATATAATATAAAAATGTCTAAGAACTCAATTATGTTAATATTAGAAACGTAAACATCTTCTATAAAAAAAAAACACTTCTTTATAAATTATATATTTTCCCCCATTCCCTAAATATACATTTAAAGTGGGTGAAAAATAGTATTTTAAAAATTTATTTCATTTTTATTGGGGGGAGGGGGGTAGGAATTAAAAAGAAAAAGAATCAATCCATCAAAATCCGATTAATTAGTCATTGTAACTCTCTAAATGCGAAAGTCCTTATTTCGAAAATGAGTTTTTAAAGACTTTATCTCTCCTCGCATTTCCATTGTGTGTGTGGAGGGAGTTTTTTTTTTTTTTTTTTTTTTTTCTCGCGCCTTCAAACGTGAAATTTTAAGATTTTTAGTGCCGTGGTGACGCCGTGGTCCCCTGGTGAGCGGCTGGAAAACTGTGTCGACGGAAGCGGATTTGACACTGTATCTCAAACTACCGAAGTTGACCGCATCTTCTCAATGGTTGAGTAAAAGAGTAGTGGGATCAATATTTTTAAAAAAAGTAAATAATTCTACTTTTATAAATAATTTAAAGATAACAATTTTAATAATAAAAAGAAGAACATATTTTTTGAATGAAGTGTGAAGTGTTTTAATGGAAATGTGAAATAATGTAAAATGCCCAAGACAATCAGGGACTGGAACAATCTTTCGAAAGGAACGGTTGAGGCGACAACACTAGACACATTTGCATCTATTTCCTCAAGCCTTCAAACCCCTTGTGCATGATTCCCTCACAAAGTGGCACTGGAAATGAGTGAAATTTCCTCATCAACACCAGGAACAGAAACATTGCAAATCCCATCTACAAAATAGTCTACATGCATATGAGTCAAAATGATCAATAAATTGATCGTGGGCCCTTAAGAAGAAGAAGATATTTTTTTGCGTTGAATTAAACGTTTTTATTCAAAAGAAAATTTGTATTATTGGAAGTGTGAATAATAATAATTTTTGCGGTCAATTAAAATTGAAGTACCAAAACTAAATATATTATTATGTAAGAATGAGCTATGCTGACGTAACGCCAAAGAATCGAAAATATTTAGATTCGTTCGGATTCTTAAAAGCAATCATAGTAACTGTTATTTTCTATTATTTTACAAAAATCAAATAAATTTAAATGCGGAAAAAAATATTACAATTCCGCTTTTATTTTAGCAAAAGTTTAAGTATTATTATTATAAATTACAAATATATTTAAAGTAACAACTGAGTAACTATTTAAAGGATTTTACCCGAATGTAAAAGTTATGGGGAAAAAATTAATCAAAATATTATTATCACAGAATTGCATCTTAATCACATTTATCGGGAAAATCCAAACATCTGTTATTCTTAGTGCGTATTTTAGTGCGTTTTTAATGTTGCGAAAAAAATATAATTAATTTGATCTAAATAATTACGCACATAACGTCACAGCGCGATTGCCTATTTTAGTCAAATCTTTAAGTTTCTTTGATTTCATAACCGTGCGTGACAAAATTGATAATGTATTTTCCCTTTCTAAAAACTGGAATTAATAAATAAAACAGACTGCTTTTTAAAATGCTAAATTTTTCTAAAATTAAATACAACTTTAGCTTTGTATTTTTAACATTTAATAAGTTGTTAATTTTTATTCTTTCCAAAAATATACTTTTATGAAATTTATAAAGTAGCGAAAAACTTAACCTTTAAATATACTTTAAATACTAAAATGCCATCTAAGGCAATCAGTGCAGCGAAACTACATAGCATTCACTAATGCACTAATCAATGATCCAAATAAGAACAAAGCATGTGAAATGCAAAAATAAGTCTAAGTATGTTTGTGGAAGTAAAGTGGGTGATTTTATTAATTTTTTAAAAAACTTTTTTTTGGTGGGGGGGGGGGGGGGGGGGGGGGGGGGGGGGGGGGGGAGTAATACGATAGTTTCATTTGCCCAAGTCAGCACAAGCTAAGCTTCAGAATGAATATGACAAATAATAATAATATTTATAATCGAATTCTGTGAGACTGTAACAAGATTAACTTGAACGATATGGATCATCAATATATATCGAACGAAGCGATATTTTATGGGATCCATTTATTGTAATCGATACCCAAGGCAAACATTTCGAATACTTTTAAAATGTTCTACACAATTAAATTTAAAGTACCGGTAGCTTTTTTTATTAAAAAAAATTTTTTTTTCACATTTTCCACCGTGGGGTTAGGGCACTTACGTGCTCCAGTGGGGGCTCAGTGCCCCCCCCCCCACCGAGGTATGCCTGAAAGAAACCCTGATTGTGACGGACGGATGCCACCAAAAAATTATTTTTTTAAAACATCTTATTGGTATGACTAATGGGAAAAGGGAGAAAACCGAGAATTTCCTTTCAAGCAATTTACATTAAAATTTCAATTGTATTTTATTTTTAAAAAAAACAAGTTAAAAATAACAAATTTCGATTAATAAAAAGTAGGAAAAGAACATCGAAACAAAACCAGCAGCTTTGTTCAAGGCCACTCCCTGACATCAACTCATTGTTCCTGGCACGTAGCGTCTGAGGGATGTGCATTGGACCTCTTGATTAAACACGACGGCAGCTGCCTGCGACCGCAGGTTTTCCCCAAGCACCCAAACAGATGAATGACCAGACAACTGGGGTGACACATTGTCGAGCTTTCTCTTGCTTTTCCCCTACTTACCCCGAGGAATAGATAACTAGAAAAAAATGTGATTGTTAAGACAAAAGCGGGTGTAGCCGCCTTTAGAAAAAAAAACAACAACAAAAGGTTCACACGAGTTGTCCCGTCTTTTACGGGGAGCTAATTCTAGTTTGAAATCCGGAACTAAATATTTACAAGCAAATATTTCTATAACCTTGAAATAAAGGGTTCGTTTCAAATTTTAAAACAAAAAAACCAAAAAAACCCCAAAAATATTTAAAAATCCATTTCTCTATTCTAGAGCCTATGTAGATTATGTCTTACTGGGTTGATTTGGACAGAGCACAAGAAATATCTATCTACGTATAAAGGTAGTTGACCACGTTAAAAGCTTGGTTGTGGCTAGGGCACTGGTTAGATAAAAATGTTGTTATTTCAATAATTTTACTTTGCTTCTATATAACTGCGGTCGCGACTTGACAACATTTGAGAACCTGTGTACTAGAGGTGTGTACTGAACTTTATGATTCAGGCTTGTGACAAGATTTACCCATCATTCACCTCTGGCACTGCCCACCCGAACATTTGAAATGCGCCCCCCCCCCCCCACTCCCCCCCCCCCCCC